AAAGAAAAGAGCGTTCAGAAGTAAATTGGAGATGTGAGATGAGGTTCCGCAGAAGAGTCTCGCAGAAAGTTAAGCCCCTGGCGACGATCACCAATCATGAGAGCCAACGCTAAATTACGGTTATCTGCACATGCCGCCTTGCGGCATGTTCTCTGAGATCTGTATTTTAATTGGAAGACGCCACGTTTTAATGCGAGGAAGATCCCTACGAGTTCCAAAAGTCACCCATCACAGCCGTCTCCTTTCTGACGTTAGGAGCCCTTGGGACGTTCTGAAATATGCTGGGTGAAAACTTGATCAACAGCGTACGATGCCTAGTTGAACCTTCGTGGGGCACCGGTGGTAGACTTTCGGAACCCTCGAATCCGTCCAGTTAGAATCACGATGAGCTAGTGAAGTAAGGCTGGTTGGCACCCACGCACCGAAAGCCACGCGATCTCAGCAAGGTCACGAGTATCGTAGAACAAAATCAGGGGTTTATTACGGTCAGATATTATCATTACTATCCTTCTCACATACCATATACTAACCCCGTTTCATGTACTCATGTCATGCGATCGTCGTAAAAATATTTACAGAATGTGCAGATCTAGGTCTCAGACCTTAGATGGCTTTTCTTGGACAACCGGCTGTAAGTCAGACTTTGCGATGCTGTTCCTCTCACTATCGCTGTCGCGAGGCACCACACCGTTGTTCTCCAACTCGGTGATCCTAGCAGTCTGTTCGCCTCGCCAATCTGCTCCCGAGTCAGTTTTCCGATCTTGGTGTCGCGTTCTGTATGTGGTGATGAACTTACGTCTTGACTTCCAAGCTGGGACGCCAGCAGCAAACATCTCATCAATCTCCTCAAGAGATTTCCTAGACATCTCGGGCATGCAGAACCAACCCCAGACCAGGCCGCAAGCTGAGATCGACCCGTAGATCAGGCCGACCCGGGAACCAAGGTTCGCTGGTTCCTGCAGCAAGTAAGGCAACGTGAAAGTTGAGATAAAGTTGCAAAGATTAGCAGTCAGCCAGAAAAGCATGACCGACTTGTCTCGAAGTGTGATGTGGGGAATTTCGGTCTTAGTAAGCTGCAAACTGTATAGGATGTCAACAAAGTTTCTTATGGTCGCTATGCACGTTGATGAGGGTCAACTTACGGGCCTCCGAAAGACACGAAGTGGAAAATGGGAAACATCATCGTCAAAGCAACGATGCCTTTGTTGATATCGACTGTCGGGTGCGCAATCGTACCCAGCCCACCCATGACCATGAGAACTGCTGTTTGCATGAAGCCCATGTACAAGAAAAGCGGGCGGCGACCGGCCTTGTCGATGATGAACATGAAAGTGATTGCGGTCGCAAGCAAGAGGCCTCGCTTGACCATGGTTGCCATGAAAGGGTCGATGACCTTCAAGCTCTTCAAGAAGATTGTGCCGTACAAGTTGGAGAATGATGCACCTGAAAGTTGAGCCAGTGCAGCAGCGATGAGGCCGTTGACGGTACGACGCTAGACTACGCATTAGCGGATAAATTGTACCGTGGAACAAGTTACTCACCAAGTTCGTGCCCTTAACCAAGTCTTTCCACTTTCCAGTGGTCTCGCTCGTGTTGAGGGCTTCTTGGAGAAGCTTGGCTTCCTTCTCGGCGTCGTAGTTCGGCATCGCTCCGTAAAGATAGTCCAGGTTCTCAACCGCCTTGGCGTAGTTCCCCTTCCGAAGAAGCCACCGCGGGGATTCGGGAATCAAAACCCAGAAGAACAAGGAAAAGGCCGGAAAGATGAAACCAATGCCCACGGGAATCTTCCAGCAGTTGTCGTCCTTGATCTTGCTCGTAACATCGGTGATAATTGACGCAATGAATGCTGCGAAAACTCCGTTTACACCGTAGATAGCTGTAAGTGAGCCTCTAACCGCTGCTGGTGCGATCTCGGCTTGGAACATTGGAATGAGGAATGCCTCCATGCCGACGTGGAAGTTGACAATCATTCGGCCAGCGAGTAGCTGATTGTAATTCTTTGCAGTGTAGACGATGATGGTTCCGGCCATACAGACAATGTTGGTCAGAATGAATACCAGCCTCCGACCCCATCGCTCGCCGATCTGAGCTCCACATATTACACCGACAGCGTATACGAGGAGAGGAAATGAGTTCATATAAGCCAGCTTGTTTGATGTGAACCCGAAAGCCTTCTTGGCTGGAATGTAGTCGCCGAACCGTTGTTCAAACGCTTAGAGCCCGTTGTCAGCCAGTCCTTCCTGGTTCTCATACCGTAGTAAGATACTCACGCGTCATAGCCTGAATGGTGTTGAGTGTTGATCCCTCATATCCGAATGTGAATACACTCATGCCAAATACCAAGGTGACCATCAACAGATTAGATGTGATGTGACGTGTCACCTTGTAATTGTGACGGCGGAGGAAGTCGAGCATGATGGGCAATTTGTTGTGCGTATCCAAAAGAAGGAATATTCAAGACCTGCTCAATTACTTTAGTCTCTTGTCTTGGCAATTGCCTTTCGCCCTCGTGCGAACTCAACAATAAAACCTCCCGAAAGTGGGCAGGGAGGCTTTCTCTTTTATGAAGTGAAGATCTATCTCCGAGTAGGAGGCGAGTGGGAAAGTCTGGTGGGTGGTGGTCTTACACCTCTAGGACTCACGGACAACCCGGAAAACCCAACCCAAACCCTCAGACCCTAGATTTGGACCTTGGAGTTGGCGGTGCGAGCTTAAACGACTCTCGTCGGATGCCGTCGGGGCATCACGGCACCACCAGGACGCTCTGTCCGCCAAGTGTACTACACATCGTTTCAATTCAGGCCGGCTCCTTGCTCCTGAGGCAAACAACATCCCAAATTCCATTCTATATGACGGTCAGAAGACACCAGACCTCCCCTTGCCATTGTCGAATCAGACCTGTATGCGCTGATCATGGCAACCAAGTGCCAGACGTCTTCTACGACGTTTCGGTAAACTGGAGACCTGGCCTGTCTCCTTACCCTCCCTCGACCCTCGCGCCTTGCGACCCCTCTCGTCAATGCTTCTTGGACAAAGGGGTACAGGTCTTGCCTTGATCCTTTCCGGAGGCCCGCATGATTCAACTGATCATTTGCATGCAGATGCGATTTGACGGGACCGGCCCGTATGTATCGCCACTAGTATCCACGGCTAGAAGATACGCGGGGTACATTAGCACCATCTGAATTTGTGTTGTTTTTGAGTTAACGCCGAGAAACGCATCTCCAGCAGGACCCAGCCAAACTTACCCAATCCCACACTCTATTGATGAGGCTTTTCGCAGCTGTAGCCAGTGCAGGTCTGGCAATGAGCCAAGCTGGTGTTTACTCCAAAGTCTACACTGCACGCCAAATCATACTTCGCGAGAACGACTTGGCTTCTGTCGTCCAGACTTCTGGGTCACTGCGGCGATTACTACGCAACTTGAATGCGTCTTTGATAGCTCCATTGCTCGCCGCTCCAAACCCAGGTCTCTGGCTGTCTGGTTGGAGTCGCCTTTGAGCATAGAGACTTGATAAATTTTGAAGCCGGTCTACCCACGGAAAAGCTCATTTCCTTCTCTTCCAGTGGCTAAAGTTTGATGCAATTATGGGACGAAGTCAGCCTCATTGGGAAACCACACCGATGCGCAGCGTCACAGAACGCCGACTCTCCCGTCTCAGGCCCCCTTCTCGGCCGACATAATGAAAAGAAGTCTGGCCATACACCATTTTCACCACCCACCATTAGTAGCAAACAATATTATCACCACTTGGCATGCCGTTGAGGCTTATATCCACACCAAGAAACTCATCCTTCGAGATCGATGTAACTTGACACTGAACCCGTGTGATAGGCATTCCCATGTCTAGCACGTCAAAACAACGGCAGTGCATGATTGTAAGGGTCGCAATAAGATGTGCCGATCCGTAGTCGTACCAGAAGATCTTGCTAGTATCCAATGCGAAGTTGCACGCGGGATGTTGAAGATACCCGCGCGCATACAACACAACATACCGACGAGATACAGCCTCACCATCGCCCAGCGGTAGGCCTTGACATTATCCAAGGCATTCATCTCGGGAATTTCTCCAACTTTTGTTTCTGTCTGGGGATCTCGCCTTCGGTAAAGGAAGCCTTGACCTTGTCTTGCTTGTCTTCCAAGACGACGGATAGGTGGCGCTTTGGCCCGCCGCGAAACGCCTCCGCGTTTCGGCGTCAAAGAGGGGACTACCCAGACTCGGGGAGCTCGAGGCTCCGCCTGCCCGAGTCTCGTCAGCCAATGGGTTTCATTCCTCGATCGCAAGTTGCTACAAATTGGAAGAGCTCAGGGAGGCCGTCATGAAATTACCGGTACGCTTGTCGGTAGGAGAATCTGTCATTATCCACCAAGGCCAAGGCTCCGTAAGGCTTGTTGTAGACACCCTTGTCATCTCGCTTCCGCTTTATGATATCCTCTTGACCCTTTCCCTTTACTCAAATGAGTGTTTTTCTGATGGACTCAACTTTTCATCTCGTTGTGGCTAGACTGCAGTGAACCATTGGAGATTGAGGATCAACTGCCTCCAACTACACATCCTGAGACGCTACAGAATGTTTCCTACGAGCGGGAAGCTCTGAGGTTGTGCGACGAAACCTGCAGAGAAATTGGGTGACAGCCACTCGAAGGGTTCAGGTTGTTGTAGACAATAATACCGATGAAGTTCAAAACGCCGCACGTCAGATGAATATTGAAATCTGAGCTACTCAGAGGCCAGAGGTGGCCTTTTCTCGTGGGACCTGACATCGTGATCAGACGTGCCAGGATACTGCGGGCACTAGGAAACACTAGGCGCATCCCCCCGGTTCCGCGGCACACGAGACCAGGCTAGAATAGCACGAGAGCACGAGGGCGTCAGGGATACTAGAGGTAGCATTGCAGATGTCAACGATCAAGGTCCAAGACCCCGCGCAGAAAGCCCGTGTATTCCTACCTTTCAGGGTGTTCTGCTCCAGAAATGGCACGGACACTGCCTTGAGAGATGGCCTTCAGCAGGGTCTTTGCGTGTGTACACAGCATTCGAGCCAAGCTTTGGATTTTTGACACTAACACAAACTAAGGAATCTTGGCGGTTGCATCTATAAGGCCCTGTTAGTGGCCTTCGTTAGGGTTCTCTATGTGATTCTATGTCTGTATGAGAGAGTCTCACATAGGCTGGGGTTCTCAGTCCACACTCGGAGGTCGGAACTCTTGCGTTACGAATACAGCAGTATTGACGCAAGTGAGTACGAAAGTATGGAATGGGCTTACGACGTTGTTTACGAAGCTGTCAGCAAGTTCAATTGCTTTCCAACAGTGTATCTCTGGGCACATTGTCGCGTATGGCGTTGGTGGATCGATCAAGGTAGACCATACATGCCCCGATGTCTACAACGTCTGATGCCAAGCCACCAGGAAACATGTTGGATCAGAACCCCACTGCCAAGACCTTTGCAGCTTTCAATGTGGAGGTCAAAGAGCTGTCATTTGGTGACATCCAAAGCTTCATCAAAGCAAGCTAACAACTTTCCCACATCCCGCTCTTGGCTAAAAATGGGTCTTCAAGTGATTGCTCCATAATCAAAACTACGGGAACACCGGATCAGAATTTTGTTGCCCACAACAGCTCTTGTGGATCTGGTCTTGTGGAGGCGACTGTCTCCCGCGCGTTTGATGACGAGGGGTAGGACGGAGAAACAACCTAATGAGGATATTTCAACAAGCTGTAGCCTAGGAATTTGATCATGGGAAAGAGCACCTATCCCCCGTACATTATCGTCAGCCTCACGATTTGTATCGATGCCGGGCCGAAGGAGCGCATGTTCATGGCCGAGGATGAATCTTCACCACATTGGACATCAATTCTTGCCCCCTACCAGAAAGACTACATCGCCGTATTGGCCGATCGCAGCTGGAAAACACAAAGAGCTTCCTCTGCCACCTTATCTCTTCTCTTCACTGCCAAGGACCTTGCTTACATCTAACGCCTGATTCCAAACAGAATATGACTATGCCAAGGTCGTCCATGATGCCAACGGCGATCAGTACCAGGCTAGGTTCGGGCTGCTTAAACATCAATGAGATGATAGAAGCGGAAGTCATCGGATTCTTTCTTTTTACTTGCTAATTCACTACGTGTGCCACTACTATGCAAATAATGATGTTACATTTGGTGTTGCTCGCCGTGGTGCTTTCTAGTACCGTCTTTCAGATGACCGCTTTGCCAATGACTCGCCTGCTCAATGCGACGTTGCGAAAATGAGACCATCTCTTGGCATGAATGAAATACTGTATGAGATGAGGATCAAAAGCTTTCGGGAGGTTTTCTAAACGGTCAAGGAGAGGAGCACAGGGCCGCCACACCGCGGACGGGAGTCTCACCACAAACGTAAATTTTGTAGTGTGTGCCTGGTCTCATCTGATGTGTGATACACCAACTGACTTGTGCGACGGACCTGACCCCGACCTTCAATTTGACGTCACTTATTCAATGGAAAGCGGCAAAGAATAATCCGCAGGTGGACTTGACTGTCCTCCGCTAGCCTCTCTTCGGAGGTCGGTGCCCTGAGCAAGGCCGAGCGTCTAGAAGGGAAGGCTGAACTCGCCCAGTGCTTGGTCGTGATCCAACAGCAGTTCCGATTCGCCACAGCTCTTTCTTTGTGGTTTCAGCCCACCGGAACGACGGTCATACTTCCGGTCCATTTTCGATGTGTACGGTCCCGTCAGATTATTGCCACGTTGTCCGATGCTCAAGGCCTCTTCATGGTGAGCATCGCAACTTTAGCCTCATGAATTCGGATATTCCGGCTGCAGAATACATGATATTGTTGGCAAGTGATGCCATTACCGAGACCGAGAGTGATCGGTGCGTTTTTTTCATAGAGTTGAGCTTCGTTCAATCGCTAAAGAGCTTTCGAGAGTTGTCGACTTAGTCCGAGTAACCAAAGTTAGCAAAACCGGAAGACGGGTAAAACAGCTAGCCGGTCTGTCCATCATCAGTCCTAAATTCCATAGTGTTCTTCAACATGAACTTACGACTTCGGCAATAATTAAAAACTTGTATCTGACCGCAGCTTTACAAGGGAGGGAGAAAACGCAGTGCTAAAAATTGTGTCTCCTGCAATATGGCAAGTAGTTACCTCAATCACCTTGCATAATTACGTCCTGAGCGCATGAACTTCATCATCTACGTTAACGATCTGTATTTGATTGGTCTATCTATCATTTCACATGGTCTAGCTACGCAACTGTCAAAGTGTCGAGAAAATACCAATAGGCTTTCTTCATGAGGGCTCCCCGGCCGAGTTCTTTCCAAATTACAGAGGCTCCATGTAATCTTCCCACGCGGAGTTTCATCCCCATTGATTTGTCCGAGGATTCAGATTGACATTGGGATGTCGATGAAAGGTAGCTCATGTTAATCAATTACTTTCATTTAGGACTTAGGATTTGCCAAGTCACTGACCCTTCTTGATTTCCCTGGAATCAAGCTTATTGATATATTTCTAGATAATGTGAAGGCTCAACAACCTGGAAGTTCGGCCAATCGGCAAACGAGAGTGTTTCCGTCCCTCCTACATAAGTATTGGCTTCGCGCATAGAAGAAGAGAGAATTCCGTTCATTGTAAGCTGATCGCCTTGACTGAGCAGGAACTCGTATATCGCCCGAGACTTGGCCAAGCAGGGCGCAAGGCCCTCAGGTATAACCAAGTTCTCAACTATTTGACATTCGAAACTTACTGAATCGACGTCAAGACACCATGCCAACTTGGCTTGTGGCTCAAAGCCGCAACAAAATGATCTGGAGATGAAAAGATCTGTCCGCAAGAGTATACACGAAGAGATATCAAAAAAAGACCCGACCAAAAACATACAACACCAGGTATTCGCTGGTCGTCACCGACCCAACTACTAATCCGGCCCTTATTAGCTTATCTATGGGAGAGCGGACGGGATCCCGAGTTTTCCAATAGGTATGGTCGTATGTGGTGGTTGAAAGAGATCGTAGGATTATTGAAGCCATCGCATACTGAACGAGATTGAAACATTCGTCGTGATGTGGCCCTCTACATACAAGAGCGTCGAATACTTTAACCAGAACACAAGCTAGATTCTCATGTTGTAGTTCTCCGGCGATATCGGGAGCGCCTCAAATTCACCAGAGTGATATTGTTAAGTTGGAACGATCGCAGCATCGTGTCCCAGGAACACACACAACTCTTGGATTAAAACGTTATCTAGCAGCTTTGATCCTCAGCAGAGCTCTCAGGTTCAGCTGTTTCCTTTGAATCAATGGATTTCTTTGGGGATTTTCGTATTGGAATAAACGTTATTCGGGTATGTCGGATAAGCGTATACGTTTCCTTCTACCTTAGCGTCCACGAAGATTGTCCGAGATCGTACGAGAAACCTATAATTAGGCCAAAAGCCATTCCAACAGTCTATCGTTCATCGGCTTTGGTGTCCCTCATCACCTTCTTTCTCTCTCAAAAGCAGACAAAAAAGTCTTGCAAGTAAGTGCAATGTTGCCAACATTGAAAAATTGAATCCGATTAGTGTGAATTTGGAAGCCTCGCAGGGCCTAAAGTGCTGCTCCCCTTGCATCATGGCACCTTGAGCGAATGAAAATCGGCACGGTAAAGGCAATTCTCAGTTGGATTCTACGCCGCAGTTCATCGAGTTACTCATCCTTGCCTCCTAGTTCCCAAAAATTGTGCCGGTGAGCCTTGCGGGAACTTACCCGATTTTCGAGTGGCCTTGCATTCCATTGCAGACTGGTCCAGATCGCAGTACATCCGCATTAGATTCTACGTGCATGAATATAGTAATAACATGTGGGTCAAAATCCTTATACTCCGCTACGATAGGACACGGTGTTGACGATCAGCTTCAGCTCCTGCAACTTCCAGTTCCCAACGCGCGCATCATGCGAGATATGATAAACGCAAGAGTGAGGCGACCAAACCCATGATATATTGCTTATTGTCAATCTTAAATAGGAAATAGAAAGCGAAATGTCTTGGAGAGCCCCCGTTCAATATTTCACCTAGTTGATTCAAACAGACGATTAGCATATAGACTGTCAGGACCTTTCCGTGCCCCGTAGTCCTCCAACATATCACTTCCTTAATATCGTCCACCTCGTAGACGATGGAATCCCGATAGCATACTACATTGAGATACCTTGAATTTTGCACCAAAATTTGTACACCCCACTTCCAAAAGACATCACTCAATTTTCGGAGTCAACATGAGCGATAACCCTCCCTTACCGCCTGCCGTTCCCAGTTCCGGGACCCAACCGACGAATGACGACAGCCAGGTCACTCATCCGGAAGATCCGCCTCTCCAAGTCACCAGCGAACTGCAACCCCCCGCACTGCCCGAAGGCCATGAAGCAAAGGTGCCCGACAGTACGAGCATCAGAGAAGGAGAGACTGCCCTGAACCTTTGCCTGCGAAAGCTAGAGGCCGACACCGAATCTTTACCAGACATCGAAAAATGGAAAGACATTATTGACGTTCCATCTCTAGAGGATCAGCAGACGCCTCTGCAGTATGCGGCCTCCAAAGATTTTCCGAAGCTTGCGAAGCTGCTCATTGAGGCTGATGCCAATCTCGAAACTGGCGGCACTAAGCGTCCTCTTTTGATTGCTCTCAACGAAGAACACATCGGATTCTCCCGGCTACTCTTGGAAAAAGGAGCTTCACCCTATTGCAAAGACTCAGACGGATGGAACCCCATACACCTTGCCGCATGGGCAGATTCAGATGAGGAGTTGGTCGAGCTTTTGCTCGAGCGACCTTCCAAACCCCCCCTGGGCCTGAATGAGACAGAAGGTTTTCAGTCTTGGACGCCACTCAACCTTGCCTCCTGTCACGGAAGAATTAACTGGGTCAAGCACCTGTTGAAGAAAGAGGCTGATGCTTGTCTTCAAGATGAGAGTGGTTGGACACCGTTAACGTCGACTTTGCACTATGGCCACTTCGATATATTCGACATCATATTCGAACACTTGCGGAAGAATGACCCCGCTGCCCTCAGGAAAATCATCTGTCAACCAGCCAAGGACAAATTGACTATTTACATGGTTCTCTACGGAGCAGTAGATCACAGAAAGGCCTACAGCGCTCTTTCTGCCTTGAAAAAGCTCCTCCCCTTCTCAGGCCTTGATCTTGGCCAGCGGGATAGTGATGGTCGAACTGTGCTCCACTATGGTTTTGGTGCGGTCAGGGAATATCCTGGGGACGACCACATTCAACGCATGGCTGAGTTGCTTGTCGAAGAATTGCCCAAACACGCTCTACTTTTTCGAAATGACAAGGGCCAGACGGCAATTGAAGACGGTTTGAATGAGAATTCGGTTGTCGACTTTTCGCAGCTACCTTGGTCCAACTTCCTGCAGATGTTAATCCGGCGACTTAAAGGAGATCGATCAGACAGAGAGGGTCTTCTGTGTTGGCTCGCATCACGAGAACATTATCACATCCATGCCGAGACAATACTGAGGGATACAATTACGGGAGTTCGGAGTGCGGACTTCAGCCGCATCCCAGGTGCTGATGGAAAGTTGAGCCTAGTGAAGCTGGCGATTTGGCACGAGCTACCTCATGTGCTTTTGGAATGCGAAGTCTCGGAGGACGACTCAAAGGAAGGAAAAGCGTTGATCAAGTATTTGAGGGACGATCCAATCTCCAGCTTCGAAGCATCGAAGGAACCGGACTCTCGCCAACAAATCAGGAAGGTCGGGTTGGAGAAATCCACGACGAAGCAGGTTGGTAAAAAGATTCAGGACGTCACAAAGATCCATCCCAATGCAGCGAGGCAACCTAAAGTCCTTGACCAGATGGAAGACGTTCTTGACTATAGTGTCAAGAAGATACGAAGAGCAAGAGATCCGCTCAAGGTCTCGAGCTCTGGGGACGAAATGGAACAGAGTCGACAAATGTTTGAAGCGGCTGTCGTTTCAATCTGTCAAGACAACTCTCAGTTCAACAGATACGCCAAGTTCCGAAGTGTGAAGAGCATTATATACGACAACTCACCAATCAGATCAATCAGCGATACGATCAACGAGATGAAAAAGACCGCTTCCAAACCAGGCGAAGAGAGCAACTTCACATGGATTCATCTCCCTGTTACCAACGTAAGAATGATATTGTATCTACTTTAATGCAAAAGCTGACTGGAACAGATGGCCTGGATGATTGTGAGTGAGATAGCAATGGATTTCGCCTTGTGATCTTCTGCCCCTGACTCAACATGCGATACTTATCAAATTGCACAGGATACCATGAACAAGATATTGAATCCTGATCAGTCCGATAACTTGAACAGCAACGACGAGGATGATCAAATTGCTTCTTTCTTACGCAACAGTGGAGTTCAAGTTCCTGACGACAAGTCGCTTTCCCGATACATGCAGCCTCGGTACGTCAAAAAAAAGAAGGTGAAAGGGGATGATAACGAATGCCTGGCATCAGCACTCTACGTAAGTAAACATGAGCTGCTTGACTTGTCCGTAAATCGTCTGATAATTCGTTACTTAGATGCCGTTCCTGGAAGTAGGAAGCTATGACAAATCCACCGAGGATTCCCAGACGCATGAGGCTGTTGGCGGACCTAGGAAAACTGGCAAAACGCGGGCTACAGCTGCCACTATTCTTACTGCTACTGCAACTAGACTCGCTACGTTCGCCACCAGACTCAATACTGCTGCTACGAGGCTCGCTCATACTGCTGACGCAACTATCAAAGTCAGCTCACCAACAGAAACAGCCAACAAAGACATTGCCTTGCCGAGTGTGTCTACTTCCGGAAAGAAAGCAGCACCTCCCCCGGTGCATTTCTCACCCACGTTAGACGAGCATTACTATCATTTTGACGAGAAGGATACGCGATCTCAAGAGGACAGGAATTCGCGAAATGAGCACCAAATTATCACCAAGTACTTGTATCCGGACCGCCTGGATTCCGATACCTCATGGGAAGTGCTGCGAGTTGGACAGCTTTGGGCTTGGACTATTCGCGAAAGTAAGTTTGACACTACATGAAGTTGGATAGCATTGTTACCGCTTGATATGGCGCTGATACTGCACATAGAATGGTTGATAACATCTACGTCCGTGGCAAACCTCAGGGAAGAGTCTGCAAAGAGCAGTAAGCCGTTTGTTGAACATGTCTTGGAACACCTGTCCGATCGGGCAGGTCAGAGCCCCAATGGCGTATCACGCACCCCCACTGAACTGAGCAGAGTAATTGTGGAATGCTGCATCGGTGCCTACAGAAAATCGGGCAACAAGGATCAACGGGTGAAAATTGATGAGAAGGACAACGCGAGAAGTCGAAAGTCGCCAAGACCGTCGATTCGCCAAATGTTCTCCGGCTTTATCAATCAGATTGTTCGTGGCCCTGTGCATTCCCGTTGGAAATATTAGGACTGACTACGCGTATACGCGCAGGGACGAGAAGAAGCGGGCTTATTCCGCAAATTGGCTGGCGTGCAGAGTGATCCAACACCCCGGGAGACGCATTTGGCAGACTCAGAAAGAGGAGACGCCAACGATATATATTCACTCGACTTTGAGAAAAGCACAAGAAATGCTGCGAAGCTTCTATACGACATCAAGGATGTTCGTGACGAGCTGAACATTCTTAGAACCATCGCCGATTATCAGAAGAGGGTACAGAGGAAATTGATTGGTACCGTTCCTGATCACACTCCGGACGCCACTACCAATTGGGACGAGGATGAGACGGCCGCGTATGTGATGAACGACATTGAGGAACTCGACAAGCTTGCCAAAAAGACTGAAGACGCCGTACGTCAAATCGTGTCAACACAAACGATGGTGGTTGCTAATTTCTGCATGGTTTGTAGTTGAACACTACAATCACAATTCTCGAGAGCGAAACCGCAAATGACCAGGGCAAAAGGGTGATGGTGTTTACACTCGTCACTGTCTTCTTTGTGAGTCTTTGAATTTGTCAATGCCTCAGCCGGCTCCGGACTTTTTGCTAAACGGGTATTCAGCTGCCTCTGTCATTCCTCAGCTCTTTGTTTGCGCTAGACGTGAACAATTTCCTCGAGGCCCCCTGGTGGTCTCTGGTCATTATTTGTATGAACCCCCCCCCCCCCTCTTTATCGATTGCGGTATGCTAACACCACCACACCAGTTGTCGTCCCTCTTCCCTTTCTCCATGCTGCCAACGGATATTTGAAAGATCGAGATCCATTCACATTTTACTTGTCGGACAAGAAAACCAAAAACAACACACCGGAACAGACGCAAGGTTCGGGCAGCAGAACTGTTCGGAACCGTCGCAACAGGACTACACCGGACCAATCAGACAATGTGTAGGGAGATTGCAGTCTAATTCCTTGGAGAGGTGGGAAAGGGAACCGTAATTCTCGGATGTGTCGAATTGTACCTTTCTGGAGGTTCGACGAAGGCGAGAAGGTCTTCTAGCACTGTGACGAGTAATGAACGTGGAAGGCATGGATTTATCTCAGTTATTTATTCCTCTATTGCCGCCAGTGATTACTTAATAGCACGAGGTCATTGCGCGATTCATAACCGCTTCCAGTAGGTAAACTATCGCCCAAAACCTCGAGCGGTGAGTGAGATTTCCGAGGCTGCCTCCATTCTTCTCAGAAGGTCAGACCTGAGATACCATGTGCAGAGAAACGCGTAAGATGCGTCAAACGTGAGACACGTTCATCGACGTGAACGAAAGACAGTTATCTTGGTCGTTCTCATGGACACCCGTGAAACTTTACACGCACCGCGACCTGTCCATTTTGAGCCGGTCTACACTAAGCAGTGTGGGGTAAGCTTTGGGAAATTTTCAATGCAAGGCATATTTTACGGGCCCAGCTCTACCTGAAATTACAGCTGAAGGCTCACGCACCACTGTACTTCAACAAAGTTCTCCGCGATTACTAGCCCACGATGGGTAAATACGATCGCAAAGCCAAGTCGCAGCCGAAACATGGGAAATCTTCAGACAGTGGTGCGTCGAAGGCGCCACCGCCGTTGTCTCACGGCCGCCCGGGCTGGACTGGGCCTGGTTACCTCCACAAGAAGAAGAAGCCTCAGCGTCCATCTGCAGCATCGGAATCAGCAGAGCCGCGGAGGCTGAATCACATCCTCCCGGTGGGACTAGAACAGCTAATGATCAACGTCTTCCGCACCACCTTCCCCGCGTGCAACGACTTCGAGGCTCTGAAGCCGAGGCTGCAGGAGATCAATCGCGCGCTGCTCTCGAGGGAGTTTGACATAGCCTTTGGAAAGACCGAATATCTGGAGGCGTATGCGATCCGTTGGAGCCCCAGCCGTGCGCTGGCGTACGCGCAACTCATGGCTTGGATCTGTGAGGAGATGGCTGATGACGCTTACGTCCAACGATTTATTGGCTGTGACAGCGATCGTGAGCAGAAAGCAGCCAAGGTTGTATGTTTCGGGGGTGGCGCAGCTGAAATCATGGCTTTCTCGGGTCTTCTTCGTCATGTGCGACCATCAGCCGCAGCCGGCAGGCCAGAGTTATCTCCAAATTATGAAGATACCTCGAAAGACCTACAAGCCCTACCAGTTCCAGAGCGTGAAACCTCACCAACACTCCTCAACATTGACCTGATCGACACCGCGGACTGGTCTGTTGTGATCTCGAAGCTACATGAATGTCTCGAGACCCCTCCGACGCTCTCAAAGTATGCCAGCGCTGCGGCTCGTGCGTCAAATGCGTCGTTCCTCTCGCCCGGGACTGTTCGTCATACTTTCACGCGCGCCAACGTGCTGAGTTATAGCACGGAAGACCTTCGCGCGGCTATCGGTCCTGGTCCCGCGCTGCTTACGCTTCTCTTCACACTGAATGAGCTTTACGCAGCCTCGATATCACAAACTACCTCTTTTCTACTCAGGGTAACGGAGGCTGCTCCCAAGGGGAGCTTATTGCTTGTGGTGGACAGTCTTGGTGCATACTCCGAGACCGCTGTCTGCAATAGCAAGGAAGGGGAAGAGAAAAAGAAGTATCCGATGAGTTATCTCATGAACTACGCCCTTATGCCAAAACCGAAAAAGGAGGCTGTGGATGTTGATTCTGAAGGTGGAAAAGACAAGTCAACTCCTGCATGGGAAAAGGTCATTTCCGAGGATAGCGTCTTGTATGGGTTGCAACGGGATCTAGAGTATCCGGTCAGCCTGGAGAACATGAGATTCCAGGTCCACTTGTTCAAACGTGTATGAGCATGGAAGAATCTCTCCGGCGCCTGCCCAGGTCGATGTACTGATGCTGAGTTTTAAGGCAGACTGGCTTGATGTAAGTAGCTTCTCGATTTCTACTGCAGCCTAGGGGCTTCAGGAGGTTGATAAGAGAGTTGTCGGTCCGACCACAACCACATCACAATCACGATCGAGAAACTAGGTCAAAGATATAAACTCAATTCAAACTACTCAAGGCCCTCTTCTTTCGCGCATTGATATGTTCGCGCAGTATGACCGGTGTTTCCGTAAGGTAGACGCCACACCGTCGTTAGCCCGTCTCGATCCGCGGCTGGCAACTACTAGTTAGAGGGCGTAAGTCCTTCTAAGGTATCAATTGAGCATATCATGGTTATCTATCTACATGGACAATGAATAATACGACTTGGAAGCTCCAAGACGGAAGAGGCTGTTAGAACTGAGCAAAACTGCTTCTCGTATTCCTAGATTTGGACAGTCGCCACAAGAGTTCGAAACGTACCTGCCTCTTGCCTTGCTATACTTGTGTTCTGCTTCGAAATCAGCCAGCGCCAGAATCCAGTGCCTCCGCAGACCCTGAAGCTGCGCGTGTTGCTTTGTTACACTATGGCCACCGTCCGTCGGCAGGGTGCCATAAACCAGCGAAATGTCAGAGATCTTCACGACAAGGCCTGTCTTCGGGTCTCGGAGTAGATTCCCCGGCAACAAAAAGAGGGTTTCGCGAATAGATAGGGCGGAAACCGAACGGGGATTCGCAAACATGGCAAGCATGGTGTCTGGTCACTTGCATCATGGTTGCACATTTCATCCGCGTATCGTTACGTTCCGAAACTAGCTATCTCCTTGCCCCGCCAAGTAGTGCTATTGTAGATCTCGGGATCGCGATACGTTGGGTTACTCCCGCTGACAAGCTCGGATAGCTCCGGTCCTTGTCAGTCGCTCACTTCAATCCCCCATTCTCATAACCATCTCAAATGATCAATCGACTTCTTCGCCTTATTTGCATGTAGGAGCTGACTATTCCAGTTCTGCTGACATGTCGCCACCCCCAGATGAACAGCAACCACTGGACACCTCGGTCAAATGATATGCGAAGGCCTTTTCGGGATAACACATAAGAGTGCAGAAGCTACAAGGCACGTAGAAATCATAAAGAAATCTTCCCGGGCTGCACTGCCGGAATTTTTGACCAAAGATGATCAAGGCGGCCATCTTCATTCCTCTCGGCGGCATCGCCGCGGCCATCGACCTGAGAAGCCAAGATTTCCGTATAAGCATCAACGACAACACCGGCGCAATCGACGAAATCACTGATCCGCACTTCGAAAATGTCATGAACTGGGTTAGTACCGGCTCGAACGCGCCCTGGCTTCCAGCCGGCAGCCGTTGGGGTCTAGGCTATGCAGACCTGGGCCAAGACTCCCTCCATCGTAACTTCTGGAATTTCCCCCAAATCACGAAGCACGACAACACCATCAACGCAGTCTACAACGCCGGGCCCTTGGAACTTTCCGTCAGCCGAAGCATCAACCACGCAAATCAATCCTTCACTGAATCCTACACTTTCACAAACAAAGGCGCCACACCTCTCAAACTGGACAGCCGAGGAACAACGTCTTTAGCCATCTACACTCCTTTCAATGACCATTACACAAATACGAGCGATTGCGTCGAGGCGCGCTCGCATGCTCATGTATGGGCGTTTGGGGGTGCTTCTTGCTGGGTTAAGCTGAACCAAATGGGCGGGAAATATCGGAATCTTGGGTTTGTCTTGACGCAAGGCGCGTTGGTGGGTTACAGTATCGAGGCCCGCGACCCAGTTACGCTGTCCAACACGCGAGGCGTGTTCCTACTTCACCCTGCCCTTCCAACTCTGGAGCCAGGTGCGTCGAGCACAGTCGCGTGGAGGTGGTTCTGGCATAGCGATTGGGATGATTTCTCCAAAAAGAGCGCCGCGCACTCCGAGCAGTTCGTGCGGGTCGAGACAGACAACTACACCTCTATCACCAGAGAGACGGGTTCCATCTCTCTCTCCGGTGCCTTTATCAATGCCAACACGAAAGTCAGTGGCCAAGCAGTGCAATGCGATGGCAATACCTGCTACTACAACTTCACCGCCGGGCGTCCGGGCCGTATAAATCTTGTAGTCACCACGGAGAAGGGCTACAATTCCACAATCTTCCTCAACGTCGTCCCAAAATACCACGACTTGATTTCCAGCCGCGTTAAATTCATCATCGAGAATCAGCAAGACCTCACGCCCGAAACTCCAGCAGAGGGAGCCTATCGCGTCTTCGATAACCAAGCCAACGCCATCGCGGCATGGGACACATCCACAGACCGGAATCCCGGCCGCGAACGTGTGGGGATGGGGATCCTCATCGCACGCTGGTTAAAGAAGAACCCCGACAACGTTGAGTTGCGACAGTCTCTGGAGAAGTACTATACTTATGTGTCGACTAAGCTACAGGAGGAAAATGGGTATGTCCGCGATAGGCCGATCGGAATGGATGGCAGCAAGAAGCGCTTGTATAATTGGCCCTGGGTTCTCCAGTTTCACATCACAGTTGCTGCTCTCGACCTTAATTTGACCGGCACAGTAGCGGAGAAGACACCACTTGAGCGCTTTATGCTCACCCTAGAGAACTTTTACGCTGAAGGCGGCGGCGCGTTGTACGCTATTGGCCTCCCCATTCTAGAAAGCCTGCGCGCACTCGAAAAGCACGGAAACGAAGAATGGCTAGAGAGAGCTAAGGAGTTGTTTCTCACCCATGGAGAGAATATTGCGAAACGAGGACTGGATTATCCGTCGTTCGAGGTCAACTTTGAACAGTCCATTGTCGCCCCCGCCGCTGTGATGCTCCTTGAACTCTGGCGCTATACAGGCAATGACAAGTGGCTGGAAGCTGGCAAGCTACATCTTGATACCCTTCTGCTCTTTGCGGGCAAACAGCCCGACTATCGCCTCCACGACGTCGCGATCCGCCACTGGGACGGCTACTGGTTCGGAAAGGATCGTATGTGGGGAGATACATTCCCCCACTACTGGAGTACGCTGAACGGCATCGCACTGCATCACTACGGTAAGGGCTTGAAGAACGACACCCAAGGCGAGGTGGCGGCGGCCTTGAAGGCGGCCAACGGTATCATTCGAAATAATCTTGCTTTGTTTGAGGCGGATGGGCGCGCATCGTGTGCGTACATTTACCCGACCTCCGTCAACGGCCGAGCTGGGAACTACAAGGATCCCTACGCAAATGACCAGGACTGGGTGTTAGCTCACCTATTGCAGATCGAGGAGGATGTTGCCTTTGATGAAGAGTGAGTCGGTGCAACATAATGACAGAGGTTCAATGGCAACATGAAATCGTGGGTCTAGACGACGGGGTTGTTCTTGCCGTATCAATAAACGCCATGTAGCCGCAGGGTGGATAATAATACTGTGGGTTTCGCTTGGACTTGCTTAAGTTTGACGTATCTGCAGTTGCGTTGACTGTTGTGAATTTTGCGATGCTGAAGGTTGGAGAGGGATCTTGGTAGGTAAGCGTCAGATGGGAAAAGTCAAGCAATGTATCAGGTCTTTTCGATGTTGAAGAAGTTGTTCGTTGCTTTTGAAAGGTAAGTACCAGAGGTAAGAACGCTAGAGCCATTTCGGCTTTTTCGACTTATGATGTGTTGGTTCGCTTTACACCCTAGTCAAGTGGCAAGGCTGGCTGTCTGCCTGTCATTCAATGCCTGTAACCAGTGATTGTCACGCCATCATCATTCCAACGAACAGGCAGCTATACAGCCAAGAAGGCATCGTCGCAAAAGAGTGGGATATTTGCTCTGCACCGCCCTGCATCTCGGCATACGAACACGACTCTGAAAAGGGCCAGCCAGCCTCGATCAGGCGAAACACATGATCTAAAGTAACAGCCGATGACCATAGTCAAGACATTCTCCAATGTCGCTCAGAATTCTCTTCTATTCTATCGATGATTACGCTGTTTAGGGTCTGCATCAGACTATGAGTCAACAATGACCAGTCCACCTAGCCTTCGACGTAATCCTTGCTTAACCATCCTACTAGCCCTTGCTGCCTCCCGTTCCCGTAGTGAATGTAGTTCAAGGCTGTTGAAGAAGCCTGTCTAACAGGCCAGTACGAACAACTTCGACAGAATCAAAGTCGCTAGGCTGAGATTTGAAACATCCCCAAGATGCATAAGCCCGTGTGTATCCTTCGCCGCCGCAGCAAGCACAAAATATCGACACCAATCGGTTACAAGCCCAGCCAGTATTCCTACAGCGAACAACGCTGTTTCTCTCACTTTCTTTACTTCTGCGGCGCGCCTTTTCTCCCTTTCCTCGTTATTGATGCTCTCTTCGTCCTGAGACTTCGCGGCACCCTGAGAAAATAAGTCGAGGATGCAGGCAATGTTGATGACGAGAACCAACCCGTAGACAATACCAAAAAGAATGAGGCTGTCTCTGGTTTCGCGCTGTTGTCTGGTGTCATGGTTCTCTCGGTCTACGAAGATGCATTTCGCAAGGCGTATTGTGCCCCACAACATCATCAAGTGGCCGGGAGACAAGAATGCCAGGCCCATCAACATACTCGCAAGTCCCTCTGCTACTGTCTCCTCTTTCTTCGGAGTTCCTGCACCAGTGATCTCAGTTGCGGAAACTTCTTCAGCTGTCTGTACTCCTGGGATCTTGCTGGTAAAGCTTTTCAGGAACCCGGGCTTTTCTGACGTTGATACCGCTGTACTCGTTGAGGTGCTTGACCGTGTGGACTCTGTCGAGGGACGGGGGTCAACACTGTCCATTGCGTCGGTCGGTACAGTCGTGTCGGATTTCTCTTTGATGGGTTGATCTTCGCTCTTGATCTTCGTCTTCTCTGTAACGTCCATGGCATTGCTCTTCATCATACAAAGAATAGCCCCTTGGATGATGACTGTAGCAACAACGTGTCCGGTGGCAATGAGCTTGAGGTTTCGGTCCTTCATTTTAGGGACTTTGACGGCGGCAACTGCCACCAGGTATATAGCGTATGCGAAGCCTCCCAAGCAGACGAGCGTTTTGTGCTTGATCTTTCGGGTTGGATTCATGGGCGCATTGCCGGACATAATGCAGAACCAGATGTAGCACCCGATGACGTTGCTGATCCATGCAATGGTACCGTAGGATAAGAAGAAATGAGGAAGATCTCCATCTATGGAGAATGTGCTGCCAAGCGTCATGTTGCATTTGACGTTCCCGTTGTTATCATCTAAGCAGATGGATTGGTAACTGTCGGTACTACAGACCGTCACGAGTGAGCCCGCGTAGTTAATGGAAGAACAGCCTTTTGTGCCGTCAAACATGGTGAATCAATATTGAACCAGTAATGTCACTGTAAAGTTAGCTGGAGGTCTGGTATGATTTGAGATGAAGGAAAGGGAGGTTTTGAAGCAAAGATAAATGTGCACGCTCTACTTCAATTCAGGCCTTAGGGCCTAGAGTTGAGCAACCTCCATCGTGACAGCGCCAGTCAGCCCAACGCCTAACAGAAGGAATGTGGCGAACTTCAAGGCAGAATCTAGTCGATCCAGTGTTGCCTGATCAGGACAGCCAATGGTCGGAGTCGGGAGACGATGATTGTCAGCTTTGTCGGGAGATCGACGACGTCCGGAATCGCCGACCAATGGCAGACTGCCCAGCTCGACCAATCAACTAAGAAGTGCATCCTTCGACACAGCTCGCCCTGTTCCGGGCACATGATCCAGTTCACATCGCCAGCTGACAATCTTGCTAATTGCTACCTTTCAAGGGGGGCCCTCCGAGGCTCTCGTCTGTTCTGAGAGGCCAGGAAATTTGTCAAAGTTCTTTTATTCGGCAACACTGAACACGTCAGAGAGTCGAAAAAAATCCCAGCGATTTCTAAGTCTGTCTGTACTCGAGTGATTTTTGAGCGTAGCAACATGCTTTTAGTGCCTGTGTCAGATCAACTGGGGGTAGTGGCCTTGGCGCGGAAAAAAAAAACATGAGTTCAAATCCCGTACGAATTGGGGGGTTTCGCCATCACGTGCAGATATTGCTTTCTATGTTGCCAAAATCGGAAGTGCCGCAAAGAGGTAAATTCGCCTAAATGGTAAACCTCAAACTGAGTTTATGATGTTGTACTTATAAGCGTTCAACTTCACGGCATCTTCAGATTGCCCACAGATATAACTGGGGAAAGCGGATCAAAGCTCGCTTTCGTGTTCCGCGGAGCTGGCCGGGATAAGCAAGTGGGTAATGCAAATGAACTACGGATACCACGGATACAGTTCAAAAGTCGTAACTTCTCTCGACCTAAGCTAGAAGGGGGAGATTTCTTTCCCTGGAGCAGATCTTCTGGCTCGATGTCCTCAATGAAGGGCGCAAGCTCGATGTTATAATCGCTCATGAGTATTAGGTCACGATAACATAACCCGCCTGGCGTAAAGCTCTTCGATAGCCATGCCATGCCACTTGCACTTCTCCTACTTGAGCAAGTCAAGTTTCCCTTGACCTTCCGCGTACGATTCATTGGAAATTTATCCAATATGGCTTTGAGCGTCCTGACCTGTAGCGCTTTTCGCGCAAGCGTGTTGAGTTTTTAGGATCGTTGAGTCGTAGCTGTTCTGTCTCCTATATAGCCAAGAGAGTCTAGGACCCGCTTGCATCAATATAATATAACATGCTTTCGTGTAGTATCCATCGTATTCTTCATTGAGTATATTTCATTGAGTAAGGTTTCTGACGAGTCCTAAAATCCTCACAAACTACCGAGAGTCCGAGCTTATCGTATCGAAGCAGTGAAATGTATCCGCATAGCTGTTAGTCCGAAAAGTACAAATCATGACCACGCTCTAGTATCGAAGCTTGATCAAATCCCGCTGCTCATTCACGTTTACTCATCCACCAGATTCCATCGACCAATTTCACGTTTTTTGTAATTTACCCACAATGAGACTCATTACTCTTCTCTTTGCCGCAACTGCAAATGCATTTTTGCTGAATTGTAACGGTGGGACCGCCGGTGACGGAGGCTGTGAAGCGAATGGCCTTCACACCTATTGCGTGAGTGTGCTTAGGTCGGTTTTAGCGCAGTATAGCGTGCTGAAATACCTTCGCAGTGTAACGAATCTTTCGAGACCCCGATCTATGTCAACGTCCGCGACGTCACCGTTCTGTCGAAGAATCCTCAAGGCAACAGTGACTGCAGGCCGACGGGGACCAACACGATCGGGAGGGTTTATTGTGCTGCATAAGATCGGCCCGGTGAATCATGCGGATAAATTAGCACTACTCTTTATATTATTCTAGTACTTAGAAGCGTACTAGCCTCCCGAAATGAGATTGGGTAACTACTAATCAGTTATTATATCGCTCTGCGTTGGCTGTCTCCAATCATAGCAATAATGGTGGCATACTATGTAAGGATGACAACATACTTGCCTCATGTTCAAATGCACTTGATGAGTGAGGGATTTCCATAGTTCACCTCAGATCTGCCATTGTACTATTGTACTAAGAAACAACAGGAAGGTTACATTGTGGCGAGCTCGTATCGCTCTAGCCTCTCTATTGACAAAGTTGCACTTTCTCGCTTTTTCTTTGATGGTTCTGCCTTTCCCGCTTATTATGTCTGCAGGTTGCCCCGACCACGCTGTTCCAAGGAACTCACTAGTCACGAAGGCACAGTAGACTGAGAATGTGTGGGCCCAAGCTAAGTTTGAATCAACCTGTCGTCTACCGCTTATACGGCAACTACCTTTTATGACAAAAGAGGGGTAGTTCGTCACTCTCAATGCAAAGGCTGCATTTTATAAAGTTTTGGCTGACGTTTTTTCCTCACTCTTTGTCAATCAATAGAATATACTGCAATTCCCCTTTTGAGAGATCATCGGAAATCAGGGTGCAGCCTCATAACGAAATCGCTAGTCTCCTAGTCTAAGAGGACTCAGAACACACAAAGAAGGTGGCTGTATTCCGGTTGGGGCTTTTAAGCTACTGCACAAGAAATGTTTTGACACCGGAAGGAACTGATGTACTGATCCCCCTTAACAAAGGGAGTGAAGCCTCGGCCCGCGGAGCCTCACTTTGAGCGGCAACAGTCCTACACAGATTGCCGCGGCGATTTCTCTGCATTGTACCTCCATGGTCTTGAGCTGAGCGGGGTATCAGGCAGCAAGCTGTTCAAGCCCGCAGGTTGATGGAGAGGCTCCGGAACTAAGCAGCTCGACGTAGATAGCCTATCAAGACATGAAATGGTAATCGTGCCCTCATCCGCCACGGGAGCGGCCCGAGTTTGGTTTTCTGCTAAGCATTTTTCAACCTGAGCCGATCCAATCGGCTGCAACCGACCTGCATGGTGACCACCCACTTCTCTTTGCATAATCGCCCGATCAACTAGATGCTTTTTACTCTGAGGGGCGCATCCAGTCTACTTGATGCTTATTCACCTCGTCTTGTGCACTACTTATTACCCCATGTCGACAGGGTCATGAAAGCAGGCTCTCAAGGTATTGTCGTTTTGTGCCGAGCTTCTTGCAGAAGGGTCGCCATACCTGGGCATTGAATGGCTCTCATATCGCAGCTCGTGCTAATCGAGGTGTCATCGGGGGCCAAAAGCGACCTAAGTGCTGATGGACTGGATTTGGAGGATTTGCCGACAGCCGGTGGGTTGCTGGAACAAAAGTTCGTCATTGGGATCGATGTGCTTTTTTTCCACCTGTGCAGATAGATGCCTTGAGAAGGTTGCAACGCCTCATACCCTGTCCGGTCTGGCAACTAGGCGATTGCTGTGCCTCTGAAGCGGGGGAAGCCAGTCTAGTATATGACCTAAATGGTGCGTAGTTTCGCGGACCTAGGTTAGAGCATAGAGGATTGGGAACAAATCTATAAAGGCCCTCTGTGTTCTCCATAGAGGTTGTTTATTCTCTCCTCTTTACTAGAGATTTCAGTACCAAAATTCAAACAACGTTCAAAGCCCAAAATGCGCTTCAGTCTCTTCTTCCTGTCAGCCCTTGTAGCCAGCTGCTCTGCCGTGGCGATCCCTGGCGAGCACTCTCATGAGCATGACCTCGCCATGGACATGTCTCCTGTTCCCAGAGGCGTCTTAGACAAGCGCGACTCGTACGACTGCAAGGGAAGCTCCCTCTGCTCCTCTCTCAAAGTCGCCGCCTGCGACGACGCGGTGAACAACAAGCTCATCCGTAACAACGACGTCAATTATGGCGCTCCAGGGTAATTCCTTAACCCTTCTCATCTTCACAGCTTCACTCTGCCATTCGACCGGCTTTGCTTGTATACTGAGAGACTGATCATTTTCTGCGACTAGGAGTGGGAGACCCAAGACGGGAGCTTGTTCCAATATCTTTGGCGGTTATGGGTGTGGAGTCTTTATCCAGGGCAAGTCCGGTTGTGCTCGTACCGGCAACCAGATGTGGTATGATTACCAGGATATCCGCGCCAACGGCTGCAGAGTCTGTGGTTCCAAGCACTGGGGCGACGGGTGTTTAACTACCATCAACTACGTTTCTGGGTGCTAGTTTGATCAAAATTCTGCCGTCTGGATTGAGACTCTGTGTCACTCAGCTGTTGGCTACTGTGGCTGGATGTAATGGCCCAAGACTGTGCTTAGTTTGATATGTCAGAGAGGGCCGCGCCTGTCTTTTATCTCCAGAACTGTCGTTACTTGAATTATCGAAACACGCGCCTGGCTCGATTTCCTGATACCTCTGATGCATGTAGTCTGCGCCACAGATTTCAATGTTCAAAGCCAGTACAGTACTCCTAATGTACAATCGTGAACTACTTTCTGATCGAGGTGCCCGTAAAGAACTCTTCCTCCAAATGATAACTTGGCCGGATAATCAAAACGTGATGGATCTCAAATAATCCTCCTTCAGAATTACTCGAAGACTGAAAGAATTAGAGGAATCTCATCGAATAGCAACAGGGTGTCGAGGCTTGGCCCGACGTTTGACAACACCTCCACCTTGTTTGCGAATTTTCTGTTGAACCAGTTGCGCATCTCGCCGATCAAGGACCGCACGAGTGTGTACAATGATTGGAATGTCAACGTCCGCTCTACCACCTTGCGGGAGTGCTAGCTTGGGGGTTGCCATGTTCTGCGGTTCGTCGATGTCCATGTTACTTGACCACTGGCGGCGAGGTGCTGTCTGAACGCGCACAGGGCGGGGAGGAGAAGTGCCCGGCGGATAGTATGGCTCAATCTTCCCTGGGCGCGTCGTCAAGCCTCGGCCTCCGAACAGGCTGTTCAGCATCCACGCAGCCGATGCGCGGCGGTCCGGTTCGAGCTCAGCCATGGGCGCGAGCTGTTTGTGAATCTTGACAGATTCGATGAGCAGTTTCTTGGAATTCCTGTAAAGCTCATGAACGCTAATGCTATTTTTAGCACGGGGCGGGAAAGCCTTCATCTTGCTCGACATTGCGACAAAAGCTGCGTAGAGTGACCAAACGTCCATCTTGTGGCTCTGTTTGTAGGCCGATTCCGAAAGTGCCGAAAGCTCTGGCCAGAGCTCGGGAGCTTGGTACGCGACGGTGCCGCACATTGTTTTCGCGAGCTTTTAGTGATTTGCGAGCCCAAAGTCGGCCAATTGGAAAATGTAGCTACCTGGTGAGATGCCGGGATCGTACAGGATGTTTTCTGGCTTCAGGTCACGGTGTACTACACCAAAGTTGACAAGGTAATCCAGAGCGCAGAGCATTTGCTCTAAAATGTCCCGACATGCTTGTTCGTATTGTGCTTCCGGCATCTTGAGGCCGACGAAAGTGCTTAACGAGCCAGATCGATAGGGCATAATCATCTCAGGCTCGAGAGTATCGACTTTGTCGTAGCCCAGAATCTCGATGATATTCACCTTTGCGTGAGATCTTGTTAGCGAATCCACCGGACAGGAGATGGAGGCATGCGGCTACGCGCGGTATTGCCCCCTTTTCATGAATAGAAAAGTTCAAAGAAAGACAGACGTACGTGATTGAGACTCTGCATAGTTTTGAGCTCTCGGTGGAAAAGAGCCCGAGCCCCGTCTTCCTTGTCTTTGGGATAATTGCCTAGATGGACCACCTTTATGGCAAGCGGAGCAGAGGTCTCTGCATCAACGCTCCTGTACACGGTGCCGAAGGTGCCTCTTCCTATAAATTGACGAAGTGCCTTGTTTTCTCGAAAAAGTGCCTGCTTCGCTGTTCGTGGCCTGGTGATCCTGTGTGAAACCTGCTCTGATCGCTCGAAGCCAGTAGGCAAGTCGCGAGATCCCAAGCCCTTCAACATAGACATGGATTGTCGGAAGCAAGCCCAAGCGAGTTCCTTGAGGCGTTCGTTGTTGACATGTGGTGGATCGCGCGAGGAAGAGACTGTCCAGACTAGGTCGAATCGGTACGATGAGATTTGGATGTTGTAGTTTTGCCCGTAGAGCATAACGACCTCTCCGTCAACTACTTTATTGACATCGTCACTCTCCAAGAGTGTGCCACGTTGAGGTCGGAGTCTGGAATCGACAAGAAGCCCAACAGCGACGGTGGACTCTTGCTTTTTCGACCTGACGACCAAATGTATGAGCTTGGTGGTGTCTTGGTATTCAAACGCGACGTGTTCTCTGCACATGGGCTCTGAACTGGTATTTCGATTGAGCACCAGATCTCCTTTCCGGCCGAGCCTGGCGATCACGAAGCCCCCTGTAGACGCGACATGAAATCCGACCTCCAGGCCGGGTTCTTGGAGAGCGCTAGTGGAGACGAAGCGGCGATTTTCAGGCAAGGACAGCGCATCTTTGGCAACGGAGTTTCTAGGCACTAGATGGAAGAGAGTCCTCGCATTTGGGGAAGCCATCTCGGCAGGTTCTCTAGCCGGTCGTTACTTCTCGAACTTTTTGATCAAGCTTGGGTTACTGGCGGATGAGAACTTACGAGAGAGTACAGGCAAGCTAAACCTTTCTTATAGCGAGTTGCTAACCAATGAAGTAGAGTGACAAAGAGGAGATTGGCGAAGATTGAAATATCTAAATCTGTAGTGAAGAGATAATATGGTGTAGAAATTGAATAAAGAGGATGACACCGGCTAATCAAATATGCGGAGAGTGGAAAGAATAGTACGCTTACCCTGGTTGTCTTAAGTAGACAGAACTTCAGCATGCGCAATCGGCTTTCCGTTCGGTTGGAATGGCAAAACATTTCTCTATGCAACAGGCCTTTTTGCTTCTTTTCTTAGAATCTACAACCAACATCATGCAACGGTAGCACCAACACCGCGGCAGGTGGCCGGGAGCGTGGCCGAGCCCGGCGGCTCGCTTTGAGGTTGGTGATGGCGGTATGGATTGGCTGATGACATGGATGAAAACGGGGCCAGCTAAGCGCGCGGATGGTCCGGCTCTATTTCCGTCGGGTATGTGTGGGTAAGGTACCCGTCCTCGCAACGGTTAGGTTAGTGGGCCTTAAGCACTAAAGTGTGGATCCCAACGTCTGCTTAGATAATCGAAGTTGAGCTTCCCCAATTCCCCAAGCTCAAGCTCTCGCGCATCCGTCTCAACTATTCACACTATGGACCCTGCCATCCTCTAGCTCGCATCCACATCCATGCCTGCAACATTCATCTCTCTATCCTGAGAATAGGTCGACATCAAGTTATGCCGCGTTACCTGGACCAAGTCGCATTGGGCAGGGCTCTGCAGGAGCGCGCGAACCCTCTCCTTGAGGCAATTGCCGCCAACGATGCTTTGCACACCCATTATCTCAAGCGCTTCGAGAGCGATGAACCTCCGCAGTATGATTCAGACAGCTCATCAGAATACGACGAAGACGATGCTCCGCCAGAAGATCCCAACACAATTATCGAGCGACCGTTCGATGAGGACGAAATCAAGCGGATTGCTTCGGCATTGGGTCCTCAAATCAGCCCGGGCCAGCTCTACCTCTCAGAATCAAAGCGTGAGGAGAAAAGGATCATTGAGAATTGCCGTGGCTCAGTCTTCCATAAGCCCAAGGGTATCCGCCGGATAGGAATCGTTGCGCGCCACAACATGAAGAAGCGATGGGGAAGACTGGGCATCTGGAATCCCGCTTGGGGGTTTGCCGGACGCAATGTTAAGCCAAACGACAACTTTTATGAATGGCGGTGGAAATGGGATCAAGACGATGGCGAAGGCTCTGTGTCCCATGACCACAAGTGGGAAGAGGGCCTCATCAAACGCAAATTGCTCCTACGAAAGAAGTTGTGTCGTGGCGAGTATGTGCGTATTGTGCCCCAGCCTGCGCTCGCACAAGACGCCACGGCTTCTCAGGCCGAGTCATATTTTGCCTCCAGGCCTTGGTTCATGTTTGAGCTTGAGGTCACCGAAGAGAAGCAACGACTAAGTCGTATCTCTTTCAAGGACCAACATAAGTTGCCTCAGACTTCAAGCATCGGGCAGGTCATCGAGAGGTGGAAAGTTCGTGGGGATTGGAGAGATGAGTACGACGAAGAAGGTGTCACCTCCTGGACATGGAAAGATGAATCTCACTCCCCAGAGCCCGAAGACTTGACGCCTATACAAAGCATGGATGACCTTGATTCGCTAGACGCTACGGTCATGGATTTCACCCCTTCGGAGCTCGACGAACTAGAGACCAACGAACTCCCATGGGAAGAGCAGCCGGAGACCTATTGGGTTATATCAAAGGGCATGGAAGATACGCCTGCGTTCCCCGGACAGATGCCGGAAGGTCACAGTCACGATCACCATTCCGATCCTATGCCCATCGCGCGATCAGCCACCGCCGGGGTTCTTGGTTCCAGGAAAGAGGCGCCTGAATCCGCAACCGATAAAACACCGCTCTCTGTAGATGCATCGGAACAGAAACCACTCGATCCGCAGGAACGCGCCGTGAGCCATACACCACAGCAAGCAAGACGTGGCCGTCCTCGCCAGCTGAAAAACGAGACGCGCATTGCCTACGGTAACATCCAGTCTTCTCCAGCACCCCGGCGTAGTGCCAGACTAGCTGGCACGAAACGCCCAGCCGAATCGGCGCCCACGGTAGCTGCACCAAGCAAGAGACCCAGAGGCCGGAAAGCCTCCAGTGCTGGTCAGCCTACTGGGCCAGAGCCTGTGCCAACGAAGAAGCGCTCTGCACCGACACGGCTACCGGCCGGGGGAGAGACGGAAGCAATGCCCAAGCAAGGAAGGGGCCGTCCGAAAAAAGAGGCGCCAAACTCTGCCCCAGCGAAGACGGTCACTAAAGGCCAAAGTAAACGAGGACCAGGACGAGGGCGACCTAGGAAGGGAGACTCGGGACCTGGCCCATCGCAAGAGAACACTCCCAAGAGAGGACGAGGAAGTCCGAGAAAGGAGACTACCGCGACCACGCGTTCTTCTATTTCAAAGAAGAAATGACTACATATGGGGACTCGCAATGAGCAAGCATAAGGTTGGGGCCAAGGATCATAACAGGATCGAATATGGCACTGGTCGTACTTACTGACGGCTCACCTGCTGGTAATTTTTGATATGGATGAGGATCTTGCAGGAAGAAGGCGGGAAGCATGGAGTATTGTCATTGTAAAGAAAAACACCAGGAACACAAGGGCTCCAACGTCATCGTTAAGCTCACGAGCGATAAAGCATAATTTGTTCCTCACATGAACGCCGGATGGCGATATAGATATAATCTCCTCTCTAGATGACCTCGAGATGTGCTCGTCCATTAAGGGATTACGTAGACATAGTCATTATCCACCACGGTGAGGATGGCTGCGCATCAGCTTTCCGAGGACAGAACCACTTGCGCAATAAAGAGGAAAATGTTCACAGTGGTATCGAATGAATTCAACAAAGACTAGGAGCAATCCATCATTACTAATACATCAACATAACCTCCCCCTTTTCAGTATGTACTGTTTCAACCATGTGTCCTGAAAAGAAAATTACAGCATGCCTGATGCCACATCTCCAGGCGACAAAACCGGTCGATACCTCCCAATTATTTCTCTCCTCCCTCCCAGGTGCGCATATCACCCTTCACCTCGCGGAAAATACCACGCCAATTACCAATCTCGTTCTCCGTACGCTTACGCCTGCTAAACGCAGTACGTCTAAAGCTCACGAACCAAACCATGAACCAATACGACGCCGCCGCCATCGATGCAACAGCCGCAACCCACGCCATGGCCACAAACGGCCCGCCCGTCTGAATCTGCATGCCAAACGCAGCCATGGACTTATTGAGCATGCTCTTGCCGCCGTAAACGAGCGAGGTGGTGACGATGGCGAAGGACGGGAGGACGAAAGCGCCGAGCATGGAGAAGACGAGGGAGACGAGGACGAGGACGCGCATGAAGCCGACGATGAGGATGGGCAGCGTGGCGAGGAGGACGATGCCGGTGGAGATTGTGCCGATGGCGAGGAGGGCCGTCATTGCTTTTGCGCCGCCGCTGGCGAGGTCGACTACTTGGTCTAGTGTTCCTGCCATGGCGGCCACGAGGGGGACGGAGACGTTTGCGGTGCCGACGACGAAGGAGGAGGGGATTGAGTTGGTGATGTTTCGCAGGCCTAGTGACTTTTGCGTTAGCACAAAATCTTCCTGGCATGAGCAGACTGTTGGTAAACTAGAGAAAGCATACCAGCTCCTGTGTTATCGTAGCTTTCGCATTTGTCAAAAGTGACTTTGCTGTTCGGGTCGTTGTCATTGGCGTAGGTCGCTTCGCACATCTTTGTCAGATAGAGCCGGTAGTTGTCCTTGACGCCCAACAGCTGCGTCAAGTTTCCCACGAGCTGGCCCTGGATATCCGAGACACCATCACCGACTGCGTTCGTCAAGTTACCAAGCAAACCTCCCAGAACACTCCCGAGGCCCTCCGTGATGCCGGTCGGATCATTGGGTGCGGGGATGCCCGGGATAATGCTGCCGCCTCCATTTCCGCCGTTGGTGTTGTTGGCTGCCTTGATTTGAACAATGTCTTGACCGATTTTCGATGTGTTTAGCTACGATGTCAAATTAGTAAACTGTTTCTTTCTTGGGCATTTGCGAAACAGTCGCGACTTACTGACAACCAGTAGTTGTTGCCTCCATTACTTGTGTTTGTCCCAGCTGCAAGCAGCACAATAGAAAGTGCGACGGCGACAGCCGAAGCAATAATGGGAACGATGGCAGATAGCCGGCCTCCGATGCCGAGCATTATGGTAATTCGTTTGTTGACTTTTCAATTACAGTAGTAGGTGATAGTAAAGTTATGGCGTTTAACGTGCCATTTAAACTGGGCTTCGATGCAGGGTGTCGAAGAACTTTTATGATTCTCTCAAACCTCCTTGCCCACCTCCATAGTTCTGACTCGGGCCCTACCTCACCCTTAATATGCTCTCCACGGGCATCGAGAAACTTTTTCGATCGCGGAACCTGTCAGTACGTCATAAAACGTCCCGATAGACAAGCATCTTTGGGATGAAACGCTGGGATGAATCTTGAAAGCCTCAACGGTGCGATAACCGAAGTCGTCCAAGGGTTACTATCCACAAGCATAATAATCGCTGCAACGGCCAACGGCTCGTGGAGATTCCTAAGCAGTACACAGTAGAACCTGTTGCATGTTACCTGCGCGCAGGCAAGGTGGTGGCCTAACAGCGCTGAGTTGTCTGGGAGTTTCAGGGTTGTGGCTTGTCCCTCCGCGACGAGGGTCTTACCGCAACGGGCATTCGATGAGAAACTAACGTCATGCCCGCGCCGGGGCGGTCGCATTAACATCTAGTGAATCGGTTGGCTCTCGTGGAAAGTTATCGGCAACGTTCTGCTATGCATATCATATTGTCTAAGCTTGCGACAAGCGGCATAGCATATAACGGTGCGTTTTCCAACGATACCCACGCTTTCTCGCCAGGCGAGGCCGGGATTGGGCTGTCTGCCAAACTCTGCAATACTCTAGGCCCCCTTGCCCTCTTATTCCTCCTGTCTTTCAATCTGGTCCAATCATTCCTCCGACGTGTTCGTACCCGTATCGCAGAACGGAGCCGAAAGGACGTGCAGACGTGCTGGGCAGCACTGGTGTGCTGGTCTAGTGCACATCTTGCAGATCTTGGCCTAGGGTAGTCCTGCATTATCCGCATTACAAAGGTAAAATGCTGCCGTATTTCAACGTCAGTTCAGCAGAAAAGCATCCACCGTTAAGCTTTTAAAGGATGCACGTCTTTCCGTGGAAATCTCCCACTCACAAGTGTGCCCCCCTTTAACCTCTTTACGGCAGAAGTTGCCGAACGAATGTCCAAGGAGTTTCTGAAAAATGTGCCAGACGTGATAGCTCTGGTGAGCTGGGAGAAATTTGGGCCGCAAGTTTGCTGGTGTTAGAAATTCTGCCATGATCATCTGGAATTCTGGACCATCCACCACGAACGACCGAGCGTGTGGAGATGCTACTCCCCGATGCGTCGTGATGCCACACTTTTGCGATAATCTTGATTTTGAACGGCACTCGTAGCCGTTTTTCAGATTTGTCTTTTGCAGATTTTTCAAGTTCGACTTTGGTCGACATTTTCGCCACTGCATCAAAGTGATTCAAGTTGCACCCAGTATCCGTTTGCATGACGATGCTTCTATTTTCGCCTGAGACAATTGTTGAAAGAGTTATCAAAAGGGTTTTCCAAGTTTGAAGAATTCAATAAGGTCAAAAGATTGCCCCACAGGGTTATAGAGACTCTTGCTATGTGTAAGTCCGTCCTTATGCGTAAAGGCTGGCATGGTCAACTTCATCCTTTGAGAGTTGTTGCCTGCACAAATCTAGAGACAGCCTTTTGCACATAATACCATAACTCTTGTTACGGGTATTCAACGAGACCTTTTTCACAATGATCATTTCCTCCGGACTGGTTTAATGACGAAGTTGTAAGGCTGATGTGAAAGCTCACACCACAAGTTCGCGACATATCACTAAGTTCAAACCCTCTGTAGTAACCAATGAACCTCTTGCCGAGGGAAGCTGCGCCTGCTTGTGATACTGTAGCCAAGAATATGGCAGTTACGCAAAGGAGACAGCACAGAAACGGAGTTCCCCACATTATCAACGGTCATTTCTACAGAACGACATGATCCACAGACTGTCCCCTGAACCCTTACATCACATTTCCACACACCATGCAAATGTCTCCCTTTCATCATTCACACCTCGAACACCCTGGTACATCATCGAGATTTCAAAAAAAGCAATTCCCTACAGAGCCATCGGAGATCCAAGACTAAGAAGTAGAGTAGGTCGTCGGTTCCTTCATAGACCCGAATACGATGGTTATGATGATGGTATCTGGATCAAGATCCAAGGTAGTATCTATATTGCCCAATGGCATCCGCTCCTTCGGAAATGACGATTCAGGCCTTCAACGAGTCATACCCGATGAGAGCCTCGATGCAGTAAAGATCAAAAAGGTTCTTGCAGGTGGATAGAATCTGGCGTTGGCGGCTTGTAGCAAAGCAAATCTAAACCGTAGAGGCAGGATCTAGGATAGAGAGTGGATTCCAGTTAATACATGTTCCCTTCTAGTACATCGTTCACGCTTAAGTCATCAATATCAGGCATCTCTCTTTCCTGACATCGACTATACCACTCAAGCAACTCCGGGATCGTATCAAAGGTTTTGTCATCGTCCGGGCCATAATCAATGTAACGCCAAGCCCACGGCTCAACTTCTCCGTCAGGCCGGTTTCTTCGACAGTAGACTATGTAGAAGAAACTCTCCATGCCGTCCCCAGATTTCCATCCCGCAGTGACGTCCCAACATCCATCGTTCGTAATCTTGTTAGGTTTCTTGACCGTGACATCGATCATAGACTACGTCTGAGGGCTTGACCCGGTCCAGAATATGGCCTGTTACGTCCACTTGGTCTCTCCCATTCCGGGTCCGGTCAATGCACCCACGTACTCGGCAAGAATGCGAAGCTCGGGGGGGCAGTGATGCTATCGCGAACCTCTTGGAGACATTTTGCCTTCAAAGCGGTTTCTAGACGGGAGAAATACGACTCTCGATCATGGCTGGTCGGAATAGGTCCTCCACAACCGTCAAGATCGCAAAGCGATGCAAGTTCGTCAAACTTTGTGAGCATATCCTCTGGGCTCGATACCAAGGTCCGGGCATCATTCCGACCCAGGAGGCTCCCAAAACAGTCTACCCTCATGTCTTCGGCTTCATTTCCCCAGTCTTCCGAGTCTAGCTCAGCCTGCGTCGCGAGTTGCACTGAACATTTATATCTGCATCAGTCTCACTTCACGAAAAACCGTCCTCGATGTGCACGCACCGTAGACTTCAAGGGCTCGGCGGTTGCGTCCAGCTATGTGTGCGCGGTACGCATCAAGAGCAGTCTTGATAACCTCGCGTGTTGAGTACATAGTCTTAGCCTCGTCAAAATCATTCAAATTTCATGAATTAACCAGAGGGATTTCGAGATTAGCAGAGAATAAGGCGAGTGCCCATTTGTCAGGATTCTGTTGGTGCAGTTGGTTTGGTGCAAGTGGGTCGATTGTTCATTGCTGTTCTAGGGTACATTTGATGATTCTTTCTATGGCAGTGTATCCGTCCTTCCTAATACAGCCAGGTAAAAGGTGCACCGGCTCAAAAGTCCGATCCGCTCCGTCTTCCACCATCCGTATCGGGAATGCCGGCTCTCTCCCCGATTGAGTCACCCGGTCAGCTTACTCGGGGATCGCCCAGCAAACAGCAAACCCATCAAAGTAAACTCAAAGTGCCAAACCCAAGCGAAATAAAGCACCTCGACCGGCCCTCCCCGTCCATCATCCCCCTCCCCCCTTTACAACATCCTCACCCGTGCCAAGCCCTTCAAATCCCCGCACCCGGTGTCCGTCATTCATCCCATCGCCCGACAGCTCAGCGCCAAGCTCCTGCAAAGCCATGGCATCCTCTCCATCCACCACCTCCGCCGCACCGGCACCGGCAACCGCCACGGCACCGACCACAGCAGCGGCCTCCCGTCCCGCCAAAGCCACCGTAACCCTCCGCCCCGCAACAGAAGCCGACATCCCCGCCCTCGCATCCATTTCCGACGCAGCCTGTAAAACGGACTCGCACACCCAGCTCAAAGCCTCCATCCGCGGCGACGATGATTTCCCAAAGGGCATGCAAGACGCGCTGAAAGCCTGGATCGCGCACCCCAAAGTCGACGTCATTGTCGCCGAGAGCGACGGCGGACCTGTGGGATGGGTCGGATGGGTGAGACGAGGATTCGCCGGCGACACTGACCTCCCGCTGGACGGACCGGACGAAGAACCCCAGCCCGAGACATTCTTCACGGACGCGGAGCAGAAGCAGAAGACCAAGACAATAGACGACCTCGGCGAACTAACAAACGCATCAATGAACTACTGGGTCAAGCGCTTCATGCCCGAGGGCTGCAAATGCAGGTTCCTGTGCACCTACGTCGTCCACCCTGATCACCAGTCCCGCGGCATCGGCTCGGCGCTGATGAAGTGGGGCACCGACAAGGCGGATCGCGAGCCGGGCGTATACTGCTGGGTCCAGTCGTCCATGGGCGGACAGAAGGCGTTTGAGAGGCAGGGGTTCCGGGAGGTGGGCAGGTTAGAGGCGGAGTTGGATGAGTTTGCGGACGGGGTGAAGCCTGGTGGGAAGTTGGCGGGTGTCACGGGGAGTGAGGAGCTTTGGGGGCGGTATTCGTGGGTTTATATGAGGAGGGATGCGAGGGCGTAAAGCAGATCATGATGTATATTGGAGAAAAGTGTCAAAGACGCCGTTATGCGATGCATCGTGATAAAGTCCCATATTGGTCCCGAACTACAGCTGGCGCTATACAGTCAACTCGTTCTGTGAGGGGCGCATTGTCCGTCTACAACCCAACAAGCTTGCAAAACGTCATGAGGCCCCACGCGCCAGCCAAGGGGTTCATCATATCCTGCACCATCATCGAGTCCGAAATCGCTTCGTTGAAGTCCTTCATCAGCGGCACCTTGGGCTTCGAGGCCCAGAATTGGCGCATGTACTGGTGTCCGTACGTCAGACCCGCGGCAAGCATGATGGGGAAGCCGACGGTGAAGATGCCCAGGCCGCGGGGCACCACCAGGGAGAAGGCGATGCCGCCGATGGCGGACACGAGGCACTGCCAGACAAGGGGTGTTAGTATATCGTGAATTTCAGGGAACGGTGAGACTGAGAGTGAGTGAGAGTGAGAATGAAAATGAGAGTGTGTGAGAGTGAGAGTGAAAGTGAGAGGGAGAGAAGTGTGCTGGACTGTGAGAGGAGCGGGCTGAACGTACGCCAACGAAGCCTGTTCCGACGGTATATCTGATTTCCCAAAGCTGCTTCTCCGCCGTCCTGCTCCATTCCGCCGCCTTTTTGGCCTTGTCTTCGTACTTGAGTAGTCTGGGGATCGAGTCCGCCGAGTGCACGAGGGCAAACGCGCTGACGAGGGTGATGAGGATGCCCAGCATGTTTGTCGGGAACGCCATTTTGTGGTCACTTGTTGATATGTTTTCCCCTTTCGACGTAATGCTTTGGTTGTGTTGTTTCTTTCGGATCTGGTCCTCTTATCGTGACGATTTGTTGCGCAAGGTCTCGTTGATGTTTATATGAAGAAAAGGAAAAAGCTCGACAGCTCACATGTAGGAACAAGTCGCTAGACCGCGGCAGTGACGTCATGGCTCACCGAACTACGACACCCGGCCAAAGTACTCCGGCGGGTCTGTGGTGGAGGTGAGCTCACGAACAGGGACACGATCAAATTCATGGGACGGACAATGCAGGACACACAACGCTCTGGCCTAATTTGGAATTTCATTTCAGTCATTTCTTGCGAAACTCTGAGAGGGCCATGCTTGGCCCAGCCCCTACATAGTAAGCAGGTGTTCATGAGATAAAAGCTCATACAACTCTCCCTCTCGGTTAGGTATTCTGAGGTTAGACGGCCCGCGGTCTGGGCCTCGAGCTCGGATGAGACACGTCCAGCCGTGCTTCTCATCATATTGAGCCGTGACATTATTCAACAGTATTGCCATGTGGCTCCGCATTGTACAGTCCGCGGAGTCCTGACCTTGTCATTCGTACCGGCTGAGTTGCTCGATGAGCATTCCCGCACCACATAGCTATCAGCTGTCCAACGCCCTCGTCATGCAACAAATCAGAAGATGGCCCGAAACCCATGCTTAAGCTGCAGACCGAAAGACTATTGCTCCGTATGTACCTTCTGCTATTGATACGCCATCAACAGTGGCAGCAGCTCATGAATCATGCCTGCCGAACGAGCTAACAGCTCTCAAATTCACCATCAAGGCAAATATTTCGATCCCCTCATTTACCTCTTCGGTCGCAAGTCCTTGACGTAAAAGTCGAGCTTCTCCGAATGGTAAACATGACCGGGGGGGTTCTTCGCTCCAGTGTACAGGTTATCGATGGAGTGCTGGTGAAAGGTTTCCGATGCCGTGCACTGCAGGATATGAGGCAGTCCCGGCGGGTTTGTGAGGCGGAAAATGCCATATCTGGATGCTGCGTTAGTCAATGTTGTGTGTACGAAGAAACAGATGCGACTTACGATGGAGAATGCCTTGGAGAACACACAATGGCGATACTCTCTGGCATCATGACTTGGTACCCGGCCTGCGTGTGTAGGTCTCGCGAGCTCATGAAGCACGTCTGCGTGGGATGCGTATGAATCCAGCCCACAACCAAAAGATCTTCGTTGATGCAGTAATCCAGCATCGACGATTCGTTTTCCGTTTCGCACGTATCCGGTGTGCACTTTTGTTCGGGGATAAGAAGGCAGCTGATGAACAGTGCGTTGTTAACGGGTCGTCCACAAAGGATACCGCACATTTCGAGGCCTCTGCGTGTGTTCTCAGATGCAATGTTGAGGAAGGTATCCCTAAGCTGTGTTGGGAGGAACACGGGTCGGATAGGATCGCCATTCTCTAGGTAGGCTGCCGGCTTGAAGGCTAGCCGCTCCTTTGCCGCCGGTGGCATTACCTCCTCCTTGGCTGGCAACTCCGGAACGCCTCCCTGTAGCGCGTTGGCTGTTGACGGCGGTCTATAGGACGTTAATGGCTCCTTGCTTGGCCTCATAGGAGGTGCTGCATCGAGCTCCTGGCGCATCATCGTGAAGTCCTCCTTTGGCGGTTTCGGTGGCTGAGGTGGTGGGGGCGTGTAAGTGCGCTGCGGTTCCAAAGGCGACGCCTCCCATTCCAGTGCCCTCGGTCGTGATATAGAAGGGTAATTGTAAGAGTAGCTTGGAGGAGCTCTCGGCGGGGGTACCTGGCCTTGGTAATTTGGAGCTTGCGAAGTGCTGAAGGTATCTTCGTCTCTTCCCCCGTCGGTTCCATCAAGTCGGCGGCGAGTCGCTTCGATCTGTCTCCTTATATCTTCCTCCTCTGATGCGGCCGTCGCTGGGCTGCTGAATTGCTCCCAGTCCTCCCAGCGGCCACCCTTCCGGCGCTCCTGCTCTTCTTCGGCGCTAACGCCGGCCTGCCGCGTCGCTCTCCTTGCAGCATCTCGTCTCTTGTAGTCTCGTTGCGCCAAAGAGACTGCAAGTTCCTGGTTATCGGCGGCATCGAGGATCTTGGCGTTTCCGGATAAGGTCGGGTCTCGGGCAGCAAACTCGTTGTAGCTTGTGGGTCTGGTGGTGAATTCGTCATCTTCTCTCTGCTTTGACGCACTCATCAACTGCCATTCCTTGTAATCGCGGTCGATTTGCGGCTTCAATTCCTCCAGTAGCCCGAAAACCTCCTTATTCTGGCGGTCGAACAGCGGCTTCGTGAGCGCCTTGTTTTCGGGTAACTTGGCATCGGGATGTGTTTTCAAGTGAGTAAGGACTAGTATCGAGTGTCGCCATAGCATCTGGTATGCTTTTCGTATGTCGCGATCTTGAAGCGCAAAGGTTGCCTAGATCGCATTGTCATTAGCGATCGCTGCGCAGGCAAACAAACAACCCGAAATGGGGCACAAACCTCTTGGAACAGGGTATCTGCAGATCGCGCCCAGTACTTGAAGGGTATTGTAGTCCTAAAGTCGAAGTCCTCTGCTGCTAGAGTAATCTCCTTGATGCTCATGGGCCGCGCGGGCCTGGGACTCGAAGGGCCGTTCATCTTGGTGGTGTCGGAGGAGTTGGAGCTCTCCGATCCGGCTTTCGCTGTGTATTGCGGTGCAAGCTCGGGAGTGTCTCGTTGGATGTTCGGTCGCTAGTGGTGACAAACACCGTTCAGGGAGATGTTGGCATGTTTCTCAGATCAAAAGGCCAAGCGTGGCAGCCTTGAGGTAGCAAGCGGGTGACCGTTTGGTCAAAGACGTCTTGCGAGTTTCGTCCCAGGGACCGTATGACGAAGCGCTAGAGGAGCCACTCGTGGCTGAAGCCTGAAGCCTGAAGCACACGCCCAGCAGCACCCCGCCATGGATGGGGGGAAAGCCGACAAGGTCCGCATCAAATGGAGGGGCACGGGAGAGAGCTCGGGCCCCGTTCGAGTGTACATCACGTGTGTGATAGCTTCAACACGTGACCGAAACTACACCGAGATATCGCTTACATCATCGATCTCACCGACCAAGGTAAGCAGAAGCAGTTCAAGGTGAGGAATAGTCAGGGTTCACGCTTTATCGAGCTGTCATTTGCGGGAGGATCCGGACCATTGTCTCGGATCCACTCCAAAATGAATGTCACTGAGCTGGGAGTCCAAGAGATGAACTAGAAATTCGAAGTTTTCCATGATCCATCGCATTGCCACAATGCAATGAAAATTTCAAGCATCAGGGCCTCGTCGAGCTACAACACAAGCTGTACATAGACGTCACCTCGCCCGTATTTCCGTTCGATTTACGAGACCTCTCTCGTTTGCCCGCCAACCCAACGGACACCGACAAGCAAGGTTGAAGGGGGCCAGACGCTCGCCTCATTCCAAGATCGGGAAATGTCGGAACCCGCTCAATTTTTCGTACTACTTTTTCGCCAACCACTCAGCTTTACCACGAATAAGGTAATTATCCAGCCAAGCTGGCAAGCTGGCAAGGTGGGAAAACCAAAGCAACCCGAATTGCGCCCAGGCGGGCCGGTGAAGCCGTTCCTGACGTTCCCTGGTCCTATCCGCATTGATCCTCTTGCGGCTCGGGTCTCAACATGGCACCATGCTCGACTGCTTCCACCGCCTGCTTGAACCGGGTCGCATGTTCCCTGACGTGCATGTTTCCTGTTGCTTGAGTCGAATACACGGCTTGCCCCCCACGCTCTTTTCTTTCCGCTGGTCGCCGGTGAGCGAGGGAACCAGCCAGCTGCCAAAGTGAGATAGATCATTGGCGGTCTGGAGACTCTATGTTCAAGTCCCTGTTTATTGTTACTGTGGCGGATGATACGTCGTCTTCCATTGTCTCAAGTTGCGGCCGTGGCGGTGCCTAGTCGTCAGGTTATCAGCTATCGCATCTTGCCATCAAGCCCAAATCTGACGGCGAGATGGCTTGATGTTTTTGCGGGAATGTGGAGGGCATGGCCGCACTCGAGCTCCTGTTTTTTTTCCCGCCTTGCTTTTGCAATTCGCAAGTGTTGATGCCAAATGGGGGTCGCCGCCGGGCATCTCCCGCAAAGACTGGGGACCCAATGTCGACTAGTCCTTGCCATGTGTTCGTCCGTCCGGCCATGGCAGATTCAGGGATGGCCACCATCTGAGCCATCCTGGCTGGACATGGAAGAATCTCCCGATGAGGCCACAAGGCTACAATTCAGTCGAGATTAAAGGAGAAGTTTTCCGCCTTTGTTGATGTTGAGATTTTTTAGATCTGCTTGATTATCTTCATCCATCTTCATCACAAATACCAGTGTTACATCCATCTACTCCATCTACAACCTCATCACCAAATCATCGTGAGACCTCACATACATCACCGCCACCATGTCTTCCACCACTTGCAGAAGTAAGCCGCCCTACTCAACACAGAACCATACCAGCAACTAACAACTCGCCCAGAAAGCATCGACAGCACCATGTCCCACTTCACACTAAGCATGGGCAAGGCCTCAGTCCAAAATAACGTCTCCCTCTGGACAACCCTCTCCCAATGCTACGCCGAAATCGCAAAGGCCTTCGCCATCCAAGACGCAGAGGGCATCCTCTCCACCCCAGACAGCATCTCCAAGGTCGTCCACGCAACCTTTGACCACGACGTCCACGGCCTCATCGAGCAGCACTCCTCCTCCATGGCCAGCTACCTCGACGACGCCACAAAGGCGCACATGCTCGCCCAGGCTATCGCCGGCATGGTCGCCTTCTTCCAGAAACTCGCCGCGCACCACCAGGGCCCCGTCACGCAGGCCAGCTTCGACCGCGAGGTCCAGCGCTTCGCAGAGTGCGAGCTCCGCTCCGCCATGATTCGCACCATTGAGGAGAGCCGCATCTTTGGGCGCTGCTACACGACCAGCCAGATTGCCGACCTCATTATGGGCGCCGTCGAGGGGAAAATCAACGACGCAGAGTTTACGTCCGAAGACGAGTACCAGAACGCCATTGGCTGGGCGACTGAGTTGCCCGCGCGTAACATGGGTTTGCCGTGGGGCTTTTCCATCATGGCCCTCAACTAAGAGAGTTGGTTGGTGCAGATAATTATGACTGCTGTAATGAAAATCTTTGGGGTCTTGCGTGGCGAGGGTATCGCCGCCGGGATAGGGTCGCATTAGCATGGCGTTTTTGTAAAGGAATCTTATCGGAGCATTGCTGGGTATAGTTCATAGTCCTAGTAGCTTTTTAATTGTATCACCACTCTCATCAGACCTTCATCTTGATTGCTTGTTCCTTGTGATATCGTTCATCCACTGTTGCTGTCACTGTCGCCCTCATCATGCCTTCTGTGCCTGAGCCGCCGCAGCTTGTGCGCTGGTCTGGATCTGGATGATGTCGCCCTTCTTCTTCTCCAGCTTACCCTGTGCGTCTCTGATCAATCCTTCATGTCTCTCGCTGGTAAATGTCAGTGAATAAAGTCTGCTGGATGGAAATTCACTTGTGATGCACGTACATCTCCTTGGTGATGAAGTCCAGACGGCCCTTGACTGTGCTCTCGGCCTCCACCTTATCCTGCTTCAGCAACACGGGGCCGACCAACTTGTAGATCTGCTCGCCATCCTTGAGCTTGTCAAACTCCTGAAAAATATGTCAGCCTTGTGGTCGTGAATTTCAGTTCCTAAGGCTCGCCTACCTCTTTTACGCCAAGGTTCTCCTGCCTCTGAGCCTCCAACTTTTGCCTCGACTGGACGGTGGTCTGAAGTTCTGATGAGACATGAGTAAAGATTTCGCTTCTAATTGCCTGTTTCCGATCGCGTACCCTGTTGCAGCGCCTGGTATTCCTCCGATAGCTTTTGCAGCTTTGCTTGCACCTCAGCCATGGTTGGGGTATGAGTATGAGTGTGAGGGGTTCACTGGAGGTGAGTGTGAAAATTGCAAACTAATGAGTTGGCCGGAGCGCGAAAACGTCGGAAACAATGCCGCAGACCAGTCCAACGATGTTGTAATGAGATGAGTGTGTGAATCAGATGCCGCCAAAATGCCAAGGCTCTGAGAAATAATTCGTTCTGTTTCGACTTTTGCGCAGTAGTCTGCGAGAAGATACTTTGTACCTCGACTCAGCATTCGATGTGGTGACAGACAGTCGGAATACCGTTTAGTCAAATATCAAGCAACCCACTTGGCAGGTATACGGGCCTCGGCGGGAAGTAAGTCTCAGAGGATGCGAAACACTTAAGCTTTTTGTGAGTCAAAGAATCTTTCTTTTTTTCGTTCAATGCGAGATTTTCAGTAAGTTAATTTGCATCATTCTTTTCCTTTTGCTTACCTCTCAGCCTTTATGCTATGTCATATTTGGCCGCATAGCCTTCGACTAGTGGCCGTGAAAGCGTCATGCATGTATACAGTTGATACATCTAAACACATATTTTCATGTAACCCAGACAAGTCCCCCACCCCCACCACCTGCCCAAGGCACCCCGATTAGCGCAGCGATCCATCACGAACTGCCCAGGCAACGTCACAGAACCCAAGCCCACAAGTGCTTCCTCAAGGTTCCTCACCCGTCCAAACTTCCAACCCTCCACCCGTTTGCGCCAGGCACCGACGACCTCCTCGGGACCCTACCGATTCTTCCATCTTCCGACATCCGATCCCGAAGTGATTAGCCAAAGGCGCGGACAAACACGACGACGTTCACACCGAGAGAGCTTTCCCCGCTCTTTCCACCTTCTCACGAAATCCGACCTCTTCCACGCCGCTTAATCGCCGAGCTCCTCGAGAAACAAAAGCCAACTCACAGCCAACAATGTCGGGAATCACCGACTTCCTCGGCCGTGCCATTAGCACGGTCAAGCAGGCCATCGATGCCGATAACGCCGCCGAGTACGACAAGGCCTTTCAACTATACACAAAGTCGCTCGAGCTCTTCGTCCTTGCCGTCAAGTGGGAGAAGAACCCAAAGTCAAAGGAGCTCATCCGCCAGAAGACGGCCGAGTATATGGACCGCGCCGAGAAGCTCAAAACATACCTCAACGAAGCGGAGAGTAAAAAGAGCGGCGGGGGCGGGAACAAACCCGGTGCCGTGGGCGTTAATGGCGGCGGCAAGGGTAAGGGGAGCGCTGACGACGGCGATGAGGACAACAAGAAGCTGCGCAACGCTCTCAGCGGCGCCATCCTGCAGGAGCGGCCCAATGTACGGTGGGACGACGTCGCCGGTCTCGAGGGCGCCAAAGATACGCTAAAGGAGGCCGTCGTGCTGCCCATCAAGTTCCCGTCACTGTTCCAGGGCAAGCGTCAGGCGTGGAAGGGTATTCTCCTCTACGGCCCGCCTGGAACGGGTAAGAGTTATCTGGCCAAGGCGGTCGCGACGGAGGCAAACAGCACATTCTTCAGTGTCAGCAGTTCCGATCTCGTAAGCAAGTGGATGGGAGAGAGTGAGAGGTGAGTTGATTATCGGTTGCGCAAACACGCAAGCAGTACGCTAACGTAACAAAACAGGCTCGTCAAGGCCCTGTTCAGCATGGCGAGAGAAAACAAGCCCTCGGTCCTGTTCATTGACGAAATCGACGCCCTCTGCGGCCCCCGCGGCGAAGGCGAGTCCGAGGCGTCAAGACGTATCAAGACGGAGCTGCTCGTGCAGATGGACGGTGTCGGAAACGACAGCAAGGGCATCCTGGTCCTGGGCGCGACCAACATTCCCTGGCAGCTCGACGCCGCCATCCGCAGACGTTTCCAGCGCCGCGTGCACATTGGTCTCCCCGACGTCAACGGCCGCGCGCGCATGTTCAAGCTGGCCGTCGGCGACACGGAAACGCACCTCCAGGCGGACGACTACCGCGTCCTGGCCGAGCTGTCGGAGGGTTTCTCTGGCAGTGATATTGCCAACGTGGTGCAGCAGGCTTTGATGGGGCCCGTTCGCAAGATTATCCAAGCCACACACTTTAAGCCGGTATGCTGCCTCGACTTCTGTCATGTGCTATAGATGGAATGATGCTAACTGTGTTTAGGTTGTTCACGAGGGCCAGAAGAAGTTGACACCTTGCTCGCCCGGCGACCCCCAAGCCAAGGAGATGACGTATCACGACGTCGACTCGGAGGAGCTGATGGCGCCCATCATCGAGCTCAAGGACTTCAAGCAGGCCTTGAGGGACTCGCATCCCACTGTTTCCGACGACGATGCCGCCAAGCAAATAGAGTGGACAAACGAGTTTGGTAGCGAGGGCGCATGAGCTGGGTCCTCTGGTTATTGTGGACGGAATGGGGTGGTGTTTATTTCGAAGAAGACTCTGGAGATTGGCTCAAATGAGAACCAAAGAATGGAAAGAAACAGAAACTATTTGGGATGGATGGTATGGGTGGTGAATACGGGGGGCGGATGGGCTGTGGTCGAGAGTTGGGGGCGTCCTCTGGCGTTGAAACGGCCGGCATTTTGGGTTGGGGGAAATATCAAACGTATTACTCTTTTTTGTCTATTGTTCCTTTTTTTAGTTTCTACTGCATTGCAACCTCCATTCTGCCCCCTTCTCGATACAACGTACAATCTTAAAAGTTGGCCTACCATGAAGATGAGAGAGGCCGGATTATTTAGGAGTTTAGGGGTGGGAGTGAATACTTGAACGGGAGGCTTTTGGCCTGAAGAAATTATGGGTCTATGGCGGACTAGGTGCCCTTTGTTGAAGTCAAGTCAGACCCAAGCCAAGAGACAACTCAATCATGGAACTCTCACTGAGCCACATTCACTCATCATGGTAGACTGAACAAGGGGCAGACGGGATTCTGGGGGTATGGGTTCGGTTGTTCTTTCAACTGTACATACACACATATTGTAGAATGATGCATTAACATTTTTTCAAAGCCCAAAAACTCCGTTCAAATAAGCCCGGTTTTTCTCTCATTTCCCCCCATAAAACTCCCAAAACAGAAAAAAAAGGAACAGGAAAAAAAAAAGCCACAGGTAGATAACAAGATGAGAGAGAGAAGAGCCGGGAATGATGCCTAAGGTACTTGCCGCCAGACCTACGTTTGAAAAAAAGAGCCAGGAGAAGTTTTTTTGGAACAAGGTTGGGGTAGATGGGGGTATGTGCGAAGAAGACTGAGGGTTGTACAGAAACCGACGTTCTCTTCTTTACTCATCCTTGGACTTGGACTTCTTCTTCTTCTTCTTTTCGCCGTCTGCCTTTTCGGGCTCGGCGGCGCCGACCTCGGACTCGCGCTTGCGCTTCTTCTCCTTCTTTTCCTTCTTGTCCTTGGACTTTTCCTTCTTCTCCTTCTTCTCCTTCTTGACGTCCTCGGCGACGGCGTCGACCATTTCCGCGTCGTCGAGCGTGAGGTCGCCCTCGACTTGCTCCAAGACGGAGGCCTTTGGAATATTAGCATGGTAATTTAGAGAAACATCAAGAGAATGCAGTCAGCGGCTTACCATGACGTCGGAGTTCTTGGCGGGCTTCTTGCCGGTGGCGTAGAACTCGAGACGGTCCTCGACCTGCTGGCGGAGGGCCTCGCCGAACTTGGTGTTGGGGTTCTCGGTGTAGTTGTCGATACGGCTGGCAATGGAGCACTTGTTGGCGAGGTAGCGGGAGATGCGGCCCTTGTTCTTGACGGCGGCCTTGCCGATGAAGCTGCTGTGGTAGATGAGACCGTACTTGGGCGTGTTGCTCTTGGTCTTCAGGGCGCGGAAGAGGGCCTTTTCGGCACCGAGGATCTGCAGGGTCGAGGCCGGGTACTTTGACAGGTTGGTCAGGGAACCGGCGTGGGAGATGAGCTTGGCGGCGACGGGAGTGCCGATGAGGGTCTGCAGGTTGGGCGCGACGATGGACATCTTCTTGTCGAGGTAGTTTGCGGTCGAGCGGCGGGCCTCGGCCTGCGCGACGACGGCCTCGGCGAAGCCCTTGACGATCTCGAGATCGGCGGGGGTGATGGAGAGACCCATGGAGACCTTTGCGGCGTCGATGATAGCCTGGGCCTTTTCGCCGTCCTCCTCGACGAGGGCGGCGATGTCGTGGAGGCGGTCGTCGGTGAGGGTGGCCTTGTCGCCGATGGCGAGGACGAGCTTGGCGTAGGTGAGGTTGTCCGACTCGATCTTGACGAGCTCGGGGAAGTGCCAGCCGTACCACTCGCGCACGCGCATGAAGAACTGGTTGACGCCCTTGTCCTGGAACTCGACGGTGGCGCTGGCCTGGATGACGTGGTTGTCGTTCTTGGTGGTGCTGAACTTGACCTTTGCGCGCGAGTACGAGTGGCCGAGACCGAGGCCGGCGGCGGTCGAGTCGCCCGTCTGCAGGCCCTTGAGGAGGCGGTCGGCGTGCAGGCGGACGCCGCGGAGGAGGTCGCCGGCGACCTCGGAGGTCTCAGAGGTCTCGCAGTCGATGCCGGAGAAGGTGCTCTTGATCACGGAGGCCAGGTTCTTCTCGGCCACGGCGATGGTGATTTTGCTCTTCTTGCCGCTCGTCTGGGGGAGGTTGAGCTCGAGGACGGACTTGAGGTGGTCGGACATGAGACCCTCGGAGATGTGGTTGATCTCGTCAAGTGCCTGCTTTCCGGTGCTGTGAGAAGGGTATTGTCAGCAGGGTGTTCTTCATTCTTGTCTCCAATACCATGGTCCCGCATCCAAGACGCGCTTTCGAGAGATCCCCTCCTTCGCGCAGCCTCCAGCCTCCAGCCTTCAGCTACCACCAAAACCACCACTGCACTCAATTCGCGAAATTGGGGAAGTCGTACTCAAAGGGAGTGAAGTTGACCAGCTTGACCATCTTGCCAAACTTGGAAAGGTCGGCAATGGTCTCCTGGGCCTCCTTCTGGCGCAGGCCGATGCTGTCGGGCTGGTGCTCGATCTGGAACACACCATAGCCCATGGGGGCCTCGTAGAGGAGGTAGTTGATCGCCGCCATTTTGGAAACCTCTGTCTATTTCTCTCTCTGATCTTGATGTTCGTTGGCGCGGGAGGGGGGACCGGACAATCAAGCCTCGCGGAAGTTATTGTGGGTGGGCAGAGGCGAGTCGACAGCGCTGGTCAAAAAAGAGAGGTCGAAAAAAAGTATCCAGAGGTCGGATTTTTTTCTTCAATTTTTCCTTTCCCCCCACTGGTGTCAATTGGAAATTTTTCTGGAGCTCCAATGCTGACGCTCGGGCCAGGCGTCTCGTTGGTGTGGGTGGTGGGAGGGTCACGTGGATGGCCTCCGGCATGAGACGACGCCGGCAGCCGATGGTGGGGCAGCGTCTGTGGCTGGGCTGGTGTGGCTCAACACTTGATGTTGCTCAATGGGAGTGGGAGAGACAACAGCAGTAGAGTCACTCCATCTTCACATGAGGACGCAATCATGTCATGGAATTTGTCTGCATAAGTTCACCATCTGATCTTTACCCGTTCCCCATATATCTTTACCTGTATGTATATGTGTTGCATTCAGCGAACTGAGCGGCTTAACTCTGGTGCTTCTATGGTTGTTAGTCGCAACCTCGAGAATTCTACGAATAGCTCAGCATTACCCCAATCAAGACCTTTTCCAATTAACTGAAAGCTTTCAAGTAATTCCCAAGACTCTCTATTCAATTTTGATGGTTTGCGGCTTCAGCTAGCCATGAGGTTGCGGAGTTGTGAATTTTCTTGGTGATTTGAATGTTGATTCAAATTCAACATTGAAGTTTTGTTTCAGTACCTGCGAAGACTCTCAACTCTTCACTTTCAATCTTGAGAACAAGTATTTGGAACGTTCAATAATTCATCCTATTCAAGTAAACCACCCAGTCAATCCATTTGTTTTAACATCATTCATAAAGTCTTTCGTCCAGCTTCCTATCAAATAGCTAATCAATTACATCGAATGCTACAACGCAGGCTTATCATCATACCAATCACATGCCACCAAAAAACACCTCAAGCACCCTTCACTACCACCTCTACCAAATCAAATCCACCACCAAAAACCCACATGACTGATTCTTGATTCGCTCTCCCATGGCAGACTCTGTAAGCATCCCTCCCGAATATGCAGAACCAACTCCCGGAGCCCCCGAACAAATTCCAACAGGCTGTTAAACCGGAGGAGGAATCGTCTTCAATCCCGTCGCTTCCGGCATCTGGCGGAGGTGTTGTCGCGGGGTATTGGCCCAAGAAAGTCTAACGTCCAATGACATCATGAATCCAGATAGGTAGCGCCGAGTGATTCTGCCTGGCTTACACCGCCGCGCCTGATTGTCCTTAGTTGACTCTTTAGTTGTTTGAAGATTCGCAAATGTCACTGTGGATGCGATCGGATGAAATTGGTGATCAATGTTTGTTGTCATTACACATTAGGCGTTATTAAAGTGAAGGATATGATACATGTACAAAAGTCCGAGCAAAAGGATGCTCGCCCCCAAAAAGTTGTACGCAGGTAGCTCAGAACCATAGGAATTCGTCAAGCCCATTTTCCGACCGCCTCAAAGTTGCCCTGCCTTACGCAGCGCGGCGGCTCCTGGTTCGTGACGCTATGCCACCCCCGCCAACCGCCTTAGCCACACCGTTCGCAACAGCCTGCGCAGTCTCCCCGCCAGCAGCAGCCGCCACGGGCGCGACGTCAATCTTGGACACCTCGTCAATGGTCTCCATGGGCTCAGCCTCGGACTCCTCGGCCTCGGAGCGGTCGTCCTGCTCGACGCCCTGGAAGACGTAGCGGTATCCGATGCGCACGAGGAAAAAGAGCCAGAAGAGGTTGAGGGACTGCAGGAGGCCGAGCAGGCTGAAGGTGATGATCTTGGAGAGGAGGCACTTGTACTGCTGCGTCTCCCAGTTGAGCTCGTAGGGGCCGACGGTGGAGAACTCGGTGAGGATGGACCAGAGGATCTTGAGGTTGATGAAGTGGCGGAGGTAGATCCACGAGGCGAGGGACAGGCAGTACCAGGGACCCGTGATGGGTGCGTCAACGTAGTTGAAAGTCTTGGACATCTGGAGAGGAGGTTGTGTCAGTTGCGTTGCGTCGAGTTGGGGTTTGCACGTATCTTGCGAGTGAAACTTACTGCCATGAAAAAGTCGCTGATATCGTGGGTCAGGTAGACAGCGATACCCATGTAGGTGAAGTGAAACCGGTAGCTCAGGCCGATGAGGGCCAACGTCACGCAGTGGTGCGCGACGAGCTCGTAGTAATCCTTGCGCGGCTTCTCGAGACCGAGGAGCATGACGAGCGCCTGCTGCGCCCAGTAGGCCGCCTCGAACAGGTAGTAGAACTTGACGACGGCCTCGTGGGTCTTGTGGGGGAACGTCTCGTACATGCCGGTGGTGTTGAAGTACCAGACGGGCGTGCGGCTCATGACGTACAGTCCAAAGGGGCCGAGGATGCCAAAGTAGACGGCGGTGTAGGCCTGCTCCATGAAGCGCAGCTGCTTTCCGCGGGAGCGGATGCCGAGGGACTTTGCGAGCGGGCGGAGGAGCTCCTGCATGATGAACTCGCGAGTGAAGGAGAGGACTGTGGCGTAGAAGCAGACGAAAGCGATATCCCAGAGACCCTTGCCATACTGCGCGGGCGCGTCGGATTCAGCACCGGCGGCGGCATCGAGACCCTGCTGAGGGATCTTGTAGGAGAGGAAGATGAAGTGGTGGATGATGTTGGACTCGGTGGGGTTGACGGCGTAGAGGGAGAGGAAGACGAGGACCATGACGAGGGGCGTGGTCCAGGTGTGCTTGACGGCGATGTGCTTGCAGCGGCGGAGGATGGCGCGGGCGCGGCTGCGCTTGGAGAGGCGGTCGAGCTGCTCCTGTTTGGAGGGCTGACGGGCGTTGGCGTCGTGACCGTGGCCATGGCCTCGCACGCTCGACTTTCTACGTCGACGGGTCGCGATCTGGTCTTTGCCGGCCGAGGCCGGGGCGGTAGACTGAGCCATGGGCGATTCGGCGGCAGTCATTGTCGCAAAGTTGTGGGATCGAGGTTGTTGTTGTACTGGTACGTCTGTTTGAGGTCGAAAAGGGGGGGAAGATCTACAGATGTTTTGACCGAGTAGAGAGACGACTAAGATAGGAGGGGGGCTTCAGGGCAGAGACGGGATGTCGCGTGCACCTTTCGCGATTGAGGCGTTGAAAGAGATTTAACTAGAGCCGATCAAGACCTGTCGAGCATGCAGAATTGAAGAAGTAGGAAAAGAAGAAGTCGGGAGGAGGGTGAGAGGCCGGAAAGTCTGGAGGAAAAAAGGTTTATAGGCAGCGGACGGCCGGGGCGGCGGTCGGGGGATTTTTCTTGTGAAGCAATTTCCCCCGTGGCTTGCGCAGAGGCGGATTTTCGGATAGAGTGGGTAAGATCAATTTTACAGTACCTTAAGGCCAGACATGGGGGGGTTGATTCGCACCGGTACACCCTGGGATCCCGCGTACTGCAGTAAATCGCAGTAATTGCTGGCAGTGACAGACAGGCGAGTCGACGAATGGCGGCACCAGGTAATACGCGGGTGGCCTGCAACTGGCGCCTTAGGTAAGGCAGTATTGTCCTTTTCCGTTCTTTTCTGGCGATCCACCCTGTTGGGATCTTGAAGGAAGCTGCGTCTATTTGACTGGTACTCCATCACCCCCTATGCGAGGTGTTGCTGGGGAGAGAAAGACTTTTCTTTGTTCACCTCTCTTAATTATCCACGGATTTGCTACTGCCTACTGGGTGTAAGGATAAAGAAACGAATTGGCCATTCTGCTCGCAATGGCAGAGTGTAGACAATCGCTCAATTCGGAGCGTGTAGGGGATCGGAGACTTGATGGAAACAATTCCCCGACACGCGCTGTCCGCGACGGGCTGGAGGACGCATGTCGGCACCTGAAAGTAGTCTAACTATTCTCATCATCACCAATTAATACAGACAGAGAAGATGGCTTCGCATTGCAACATCGCTCATTCTCATATGCAAATCTCAAGAACGACTATGTTGACAACAGTCATCGAATTGAAAACAAAACAACAATAGACCCTACGCCAGGGTCCAGAACCATCGTCGGTGCTCGGGCTCTCAACACTTTTTTTCGTCCCATGTCGACCGTCCATCCGCACTTTGGGGCCATCCCATGACGATACAGGCGGTCTGTCACCGTCTCCGACATCCCGTTGGCAGCCCATTCCCGCCCACCACAGCACGGAAGTGCCGGTGCTCAACGGGGGGAGGGGACGGCCCAGACATGTGCTCTCCATCCCCATATGCGCGAATCCAGAGGTGCCGGGGTCTATGCGATATCCTTACCTAAGCTCGCTTGTCCTGCTCCCTTACATAATACGCGCTTGAATGGGAGGTAACCCTCGGATGTCTCTCAGCGTCGCACTCTGCAAGAAAGTACTTTGCTCTTGCAGATCACCCGCCTGCTCAAGGCGAAGCGAGAATCCAACCAAGTTACCTTAAGATTAGGTACCTATTATCACCGGCGTAGAGGTGCAGCACAAATGTAGACTAGTCCATGCCCAGCCACAAACCGTGGCTTTGCCCGAGTGACGTCCAGGTTGCCAGCTCAAGCCACACAGGAGGGGAGCCAGCTGTGGGAGCTGACGACAACTCGCGCCTCATCCAGCTACAAGCTCCAGTAACAGCGCGCAGCATTGCGCCGCATATTGGGGTCAACCACCCACGGCATCCATACAGAGTCCGGGATGCACAGGCACAGCTTGGAATAGAGGGGGGCCAGGAGGGGCAGTGTCGCACTCGTATTTGTGACCTAAAGCCCATTGCCATTGGAGTTGTCCTACGCGGGGCCATTCATTCCAAGTCCCCGGACAAGCTGCATCACCGTTGCCGCTACCCTTTAGCTACCTTACCTTGCCTTACGTTGCATAAACCTGACGTGACCTAACAGTGTCAAACACCTCCAGCGAGCAATAAGAACCGTCTGCCTCCCTCCTGCCGACCTGTTGTCTATAAACATCCCTTTCTTTACGGTCAATATCTTGGCAACGAACCTCGTCTGTCCTGTATGCAATTCGGACGCTCGACAACCCTCGTCACCTCTGCCATAGTCCTCTTGACCACCATCTTCTTGACACACACCTACACGGACCTCTTCACACACCTACCTATTCCCTTTTTCACATCAAACACCACAGACACGATGGGCGGCGGTCCAGTCCAAGGCTTCCGCTCGGTAGCCTACTTTGTCAACTGGTACGTCATCAGCAGTTCTCTTGAGTACTTCCCTCAAAGCAAACGTAACTAACACCATCGCTTCCCAGGGCAATCTACGCCCGCAAGCACCGCCCCCAAGACCTCCCCGTCGAGAACCTCACCCACATCCTCTACGCCTTCGCCAACGTGCGCTCCGACACGGGCGAGGTCCACCTCACCGACGGCTGGGCCGACACGGACATCCACTGGGAGGGCGACAGCTGGAACGACGTTGGGACAAACCTCTACGGCTGCATGAAGCAGCTCAACCTCCTCAAGCGCCGCAACCGCAACCTCAAGATCCTCCTGTCCGTCGGCGGCTGGACATACTCGTCCAACTTCAAGGCCCCCGCCAGCACGCCCCAGGGCCGCGATACCTTTGCCCGCAGCTGCGTCGACCTCATCAAGAACCTGGGCTTTGACGGGTACGTTTACCAGTCCCACCCCGGGTATCCTACCCCAACTGATTAAACCAACCTGCTAACAAACGTGACAGCATCGACATTGACTGGGAATACCCCCAATCCCCCTCCGAAGCCTCCGACTTCGTCGCCCTCCTCCAGGCCGTCCGCTCCGCCATGGACAACTACGCCTCGACCCTGCCAGAGTGGTACCACTTCGAGCTGACAGTCGCCTGCCCCGCCGGCGCCCAAAACTACCAAAAGCTCAACCTCCCCGCCATGGACCCCCTCCTCGATTTCTGGAACCTCATGGCCTACGACTACGCCGGCTCCTGGGACACCACCGCCGGCCACCAGGCCAACCTTCAGCCCTGCCGACAGAACCCGCGCTCGACGCCCTTCAGCACCGCCGCTGCCTTGGCGCACTACACTTCCCATGGCGTATCCCCTGACAAGATCGTGCTAGGGATGCCGCTGTACGGGCGCGCCTTTGAGAATACGGATGGGCCCGGCACGCCGTATTCTGGGGTCGGGGAGGGGAGCTGGGAGAATGGCGTCTTTGATTACAAGGTGTTGCCGATGCCGGGCGCGCAGGAGTATCATGACGAGGAGACGGGTGCGAGTTACTCATATGATGCGGGGAGGAGGAAGATGGTTACGTATGATACGGTGCACATGGCGAGGAAGAAGGCTGAGTATATTCGGGGATGGGGTCTGGGTGGTGCCATGTGGTGGGAGAGCAGTGCTGATAAGCCTGGGCACGAGTCGCTGATTGGGAATGTGGTTCATACGTTTGGTGGTCCGCATGGGTTGCTGCGGCGGGATAACTGTCTGACGTATCCCGAGACCAAGTATGACAATTTACGGAACGGGTTCGCAGGTTGAGGTGTAGGTTAGGTAGACCAAGTCACCAAAGAACCAAAGTTGTGGGAGCCAAAATGCACAGAGTCACGTAACGTCACAAATCATGGTGGAGAGTAAAGAGTGAGAGATGGTCATAGTGTCATGAAATTGCATCGTCATTGCCAGCCAGTGATGTGTACATCAACGCCCCCGTTTTGTGTGCGGCTTTCTGCCGACTAGAATGCTAACCCTGAACCGATCCTCCCAGAATTGTCGCTTTTTGTTTTCCGTAACCTCGCGCCCGCGAAACAAGAGAGAAAATTTACTCCTTCTTGTCGAAGACGTAGGTGAGGTGGCAGCGGCCGCAGTACTGGCGGTCGTTCATGGCGGCCATGAAAACACCGGCACCGCACTGGAGCGAGTTAGTATTGAAACGACAGTGTAAAAGATTGGAGGTAAGCGTACGGTGTCGGAGGGGCACTCGCGGCGGAGGCGCTCGATCTTGCCGTCAGAGTCGACCTTGTAGTACTTGAGGACAGCCAACTTGGTCTTCTTGCGCTTGTGCTTGATCTTCTTGGGGGTGGTGTAGACCTTCTTCTTGCGCTTCTTGGCCATACCACCACGCAGGCGCAGGACCAGGTGGAGGGTGGACTCCTTCTGGATGTTGTAGTCGGAGAGGGTGCGGCCGTCCTCGAGCTGCTTTCCAGCGAAGATCAGGCGCTGCTGGTCGGGGGGGATGCCCTCCTTGTCCTGGATCTTGGACTTGACATTGTCGATGGTGTCGGACGACTCCACCTCAAGGGTGATAGTCTTGCCCGTCAGGGTCTTGACGAAGATCTGCATGATTGCCTACTTGTCACGGAATGTTAGAATCAAATGCATCGAAGTTTGGGTGGATAGCAAAGATTGCTGTCCGTCTCCCTCGATGCTCCTCTTCTTCGCCCATTGTTTCCGGCAGAGTTGGATGTCGATGGCTTTGGTGGGTGGCGGCAGCGATTGAGCATTCGGCGAAGCGATTTTACAGGCTCGACGAGCTCGCTCGCATGCCGTTGAACCCTGCCAAAAGACTCTGACCCCTTCCAGTGCGCCCCCTCGATAACTCTCGAAAGACGCTGTCGATTTCGCGAATACGCCTTGCGAGAGTCGAGTGACAAGCGACAGCGGAAAGAGAGTCCACAACTCGTCGAAAGACGAAATGCCAGAAAACGAAGGGAGAAGAAGAGGTGTAACGGGCTCATGGCCAACAAAGAGGGAGCAGAAGCATCTTCAGACGTACCTCGACAATATGTCTATTGCCTTCCTAAGCAGATCCTCAGATGGGTTCGAGTTGGGGATGAAGGAAAATTAAAAGGAAACGACTGCCGTCTGTCGCAGCGCACAGTAAATCCGTCCTGCGCAGGCGCTGGGTGGACCGGGTGGGGGGGTTTGCGAGACCTGGAAAACTAGCGAGACCACGTGATCCTGCTCGTCTGCGATTGGCCAACCATGGGGTCTGGAAATCGAATGTGTGGTGCGAAATACGATACGTACTGCAGTCCTGAGGCGACTTGCCCGCGTAAAGTGCACCCTCGCCTAAAATTCCAGAGTGGGATTTTTCCAGAGGTGGGTCCACAAGCACCATTTTTCCGTACCGCACTCTCCAGCCCTGGACCAGCCCTCACTCGTACGCAGCCTCCACCCACCACCAATTCGCAGCAAGGCACGTCAAAACCATTTCGCGCCCTGGTCGAACCCACCAATTGCGATTTTTTGACTCAGCAAGCCAGAAAAGATCAAGTACGTCTCCTCGCAATTGATATACCCCCTTCTCCTCTTCTCTTTTTTCTCTCCTTCACGGATCTACTAACACACAGTCAGACGTCGCCAAAATGGTCAAGAAGAGAAAGAACAAGTACGAAGATTCCCTCCTCATCCGCCCCATACACCGCGCTTCCCACGTGCCTCTACCCTCACGTCCCGGCCATCGACAACGGGTCCCGATATCACGAACCTGCTCGACGACGCCGGCGACTGAGGCTCCAGATGAACACATGCGCAATGATACCCCTAAACGAACACGATTACTGACTTGGTTTCCCCTCCTACAGCGGACGCAACAAGAAGGGCCGCGGCCACGTCAAGCCCATCCGCTGCAGCAACTGCTCGCGATGCACGCCCAAGGATAAGGCGATCAAGCGCTTCACCATCCGCAACATGGTCGAGTCTGCTGCCATCCGTATGCCTACACCCTCTTCTTCTCAACATGCCCCAAAGACTAACAGGTATCAGGTGATATCTCTGACGCCTCCGTCTTCGCGGAGTACACCGTACCCAAGATGTACCTGAAGCTGCAGTACTGTGTCTCTTGCGCCATTCACGGCAAGATTGTCCGGTACGTTCGTCCGCGGGAGCGACGACTGCAACCCGTCGGTCTGGTTCACACCAAGACCGCGGCGCGCAGGCGCTACAGAAGAACCTTGGCGCTACTCGAAGCTCCCATATCCCCCGTGCCCTGCACTTCGGCGACGCGGTCCTTCTCCTCTTGCAGGAGGTCGATTGCCGACCTGACGGTTGCTTTCAGGCCTTGTGAAAGACCCCCCAATGCTGACTTACTTTCCCAGTGTCCGTTCCGTCGTGGGCCGCCGCAACCGCGCTCCCCCTCCCCGCGTCCGCTACAACAAGGATGGCAAGAAGATCGTCCCCAACACCCCCAAGGCCTAAAGAGTTATTTCTCTACTCGGGTACTCGGTGTTTCAGGTGTTTGCAATGACGAGCAGTGGATGAAAAAGTTCTCCTTTCAGGCATGGTTTGGGAACCGG